CATTTTTGATTGCTTAAAGGTAATTTCAGTTTCATGTGAATTGATTAGAGTTGATTCATCGCACACTGGTGTGACCCACAAGCTGGCCGACTGTCTTTTCTACAGCTTCAAACTATAGCAACTGAAAACAGAAATTGTTAGATATGCTACAACTCTGCCTCAGTAAATATATGGTGACCTGAAAAAATATTGAACCACAAACTAATACAAAACAAATGGGAGAAATCAGAGACGATGGTGCAGATTACTTTAAGTCACAGCTACAGGAAAGAGCGATAAACCAACAGCCAAAGGTAGAATACTGGTCACTGCATTATATGCAACATTTTGTACATTATCTTTCAACAGTCTTCAACATAAGCTTGGTCTTAACCTGTGTAAGTACAGGCCAAACATGGCTGCTGAAACCTGTGCAGCTGTGCAGTTTTATAACATTTAGGCTTCACCACCAACGTTGTAATAACTGTTCTGCTGAAGGCTTCGCGTTGATCTGACACTGAAGCAGAGACTTCAGTCACAGACCGAGTAACAAGACAACATTTCTCTCTGATATCAGACAAGTTCTCTCAAAGATGACAGCTGATATTGATATCTCACGAGCAAGCTCTCTGTCAGATCTCACCAGGGAGTGGGTCCTTGCATCTCAAAAAATGTCAGTGTTACACTGAGCACACATTTGAAATCTAGATCTTTTTTCTTTTTCTATTTTTTTAAGCCTGAAAGGAATAAGTTGAAAATGGGAGCCGGAGCCAGGACAATTCGAGTTTATAAGTGCAAGTGCTGCGATTGCTGATGTGTTCAAAAAGACAAGAAGACATTAAAAACAGCCGATGCCTGAGGTCATCGTTTGTTCACCGGTTTATTGATTCTTTCAGTGTTAAGCAGACATAACTGTCCACCATTTCACCTAATGTTTCCCATCAGCATTTTGCCTATTCATGGCTTGCTGGAAAGTCTAAAAAAAATTGTTTAAAACCGCACCGTGACGCTGGCCTACAACCAAGTAAAATGGAGAAATCTACAGTGTGAGACGGCGACATCGCGGAAAAATGTGCTATTAACCACTCAGGCAATCATGAATGATTAACATAATCACCAGATGAATGCATCAGATCTTTTTAATCATAAGAAATGAATAAGAAGTTGTCTCAACTTTAAGACCCTGGGGTGGCGCGGGGGTTTCTGCTGAACATCTCAGCTGAAATAATAACGTCTCAGTCAGAGCTTGTTTGGACTGAAGTAAAGTGCAAAGATGTCAAAGCGAAAGTGTACGCTGCAGATATTAAATACAAACACATTCTGTCACCTTTGAGCTTTGAAATAAGCTACCAACATTACATTCTCATGGCCAGCAAGCCCTGCTGAAAATTCAGCCGACATGCACTGATGCAGTGTCAGCATACCTGTGGAGGTAGGAGAAAGTCCAGCAGGTGCAGTTGTGGATTGTTTATATACCGATTCAAGATTTTTCTGTTTACACCAACATGGAAGTTGTTGTTCTCAAATGTTAAGGTCGAGGCATTTGTGAATCCACAAAAAGAGTGCATCATCTGAATTAGCATAAAGTAAGCAAAACTCTCTTTAAAATTGCTTTATAACTTTTAAACTGACGCCTCATTGCACAAGGTACTTTACTCCTTTACTTTTGTAAATTCAATCTTAAGAGCAAATCAAGCTTGTCAAGGTAAGAAAATAAAGGAGTTCAGGGAAAACTCTAACTACATACCCTTATTATTTTTTATTGCATCTTGTTCACTTTTTTAGCTATCTTTTGTTAGGGCTGAGCAATAACTAACCCAACTAACATGTTGATCTGACAAAGAATCAGCAGAGTTGAGCTTTCGAAAGCCAAATCCATACACATGCACAATAAGGTATTCCCACTGAGGTTCAAATTGCTATTTTATGTTTAGACTTTAACCAAACCAGGCACACTCCTTTGTATGTAAAGAGCTGCAATTATAGTGGTTTGATCAAATGGCCAAGTTGAATAGCAACTAAACAACTTCCCAGCCATCCCATAGTTCTTCTGCTGATGCTTTTCATTCAGTACCTGTGCAGATGAGTGGAAAATCTGGTAAGATTTAAACACAAAAAAGGTAGACAGTGAGATCATAAAATGGCTGCTGAACAGCCACATACTGTATTTCGACTACAAGCAACATGTTGCAAGGTGTTGCATTGTTCTTTTTGACAGGCTGCCTTCAGTGAGATTAATGTCATGCTCTGCCTGTGGGCTCATTTTATCCTGTACTGACTTAGTTGATGACGCATTAGTGACTGACCAGTAGATTCTAAATTGAATTTTCTGTGTTGGCACCTATCCAGAAGTTTCTGCCTGTATTCAGCAGGCATCCCTAAACAGCTTCCTGCGTGTGTTTGGCAGCTGGAGAGTATTCCTACTTCATTTATCCAAATTCACTAGACCTCGAGACTTGACAGGCTTGGTAATCAGTGTCCACAAGCATAATCCCCATGGTCTCCAGACACCACACAATCAAGTCTCCCTTCCCTCCTTCTTCAATTTTATATATGAGTTTTGTTAAAGAAAAAAAGAACACCTTGGAAGAGGATACACATTCATAAATATGCGCACCACACAATGTCTGGAAACATGTGTTCACATGTTAAGAGGCCATCTGCTCTGATTCTGGGTGGGACTCCATGCCAGCTGCAATTACGTCCTCTGTTGATCCCCATTTTCAAGTAATGTTTCATTTGGAACGAGCCAACGAATTCTTCCAGGTTTGCTTTGAGGCTTGTGTGTCTTTGGTGATATGTAGGTTTGTGTTTTTCTTTGTCGGTATATTAGAAGAACATCTATTGGTCCATTCAGATTTTTATCATGCTGTGGAAATTTGAAATTGACAAAAATGTTTCATATTTACTCGAGAGAACAAGTAAGACTCTTGGAAAACTGCGACTTGACTACTTGGGAGACATTAATAGGTGAGTTCCCATGTGAGGAGCCTTTCAGCTCTGAAAAATAAAGCCGCCTTGGGATAAAGAACCGGCAGTCAAGGAAAGAACAAAACAGTAAGAAAAACAAATCTTCCTCCACACCACTAGCAGGAAAACTGAGGTAATCAACCGACTCTCCTTGAGTTTAAGCTCCACAATAAGAGAAAAAAATTCCTTTCATACCTGTGAGACAAGTGGAATTGACTTCCATATATCATTTATAAGACATCTGATGCCTGTGGTACAGGGCTTCTAGACTGCAGCAGATTTGCCAAAAACTTTCCTTCTCCGGTGGAAATCCTATACACTGAGGTCCAAATAATATCTGTACAGGTGTAGTAAATAAATGTCTGATCCTCACTAGTTTGACATTACACAAACAACAATTCTTCTGCTACAACAGAGAAGGCCAAGAGACATCAAACCCTTCGTGACTCAGCACTCATGCAGCAGAATTATCTGAAATTTCACACAGAGCTTTCCAGGATTTTCCTCGAAAATGCTTAAAGAAATATCAGTTTCCCCATCCGACATGCTCAAATGGTTAGTGCTTCTTTCAAAGTCTCTTGTTAAAAAGCCACCCTGTCATCAATAACCAGGTGGCAGTGGTCAGGTGACAAAGCCTTTTTTGTACTGTCCATAGAAGTAGGAATAGTTTAATTTTAAATGCTCTTCAAGACCCTTTTCCGTTTGATTCAAAAGTGGAGTGGATGTGCAAAGTTGATAAAGCTCTGAAGGAGCAGAGGCCATCACAGCGTCATGTTGAAAAGCAGCTGGTGACACAGCGCTTTGCTGCCTCTGCATGGTCACTATAAATGAGCAAAGGCAAACGATTATATTCACAGTTGAGTCAAGTTACGATTACAGCTTTAATTGGCTATTTAACTGGACCACTGCCCCCCTTCCGGTGCATATACATGCACCACAGGATCAGAGGGAAGTTTCTTGAATAATGATTTTGTCAGATGATGGACTGAGAGTCTGCAATTGTTTTAATGCTTTAAGCAGCGACGAGACAACAGTCTAAACAGGCTCCAGACTCTCCCACATCTAGCTAAAAGATATGAGAAAATAATGACAAATACATTTTAAAAATTGTGAATGAGGCAGCTTTAAGCCAAATCTTTGTGGACTAGAAATAAAGACTTCTAGGCATTACAAAGCATGCAAACAAGATTCAACTTTTGCACCTGCAGAGATCGTCAGGACACCACCATCTGTCAGGATTCCTCCTGCTAACGGTCCTGCACGCGTCCGTCTGTCCGTGGAACTCAGTAGTTTGCTCGTTCTTTCTAGAAATCTCACTGTATTTCTAACAATCAAAGAAAAAAAAGACTTAAACTTCCTCTTCGTACCTTTTGGACATGACATGTCCCATTTAACTCATCTGTATTTGCTGTCTTTTCTTTAGCTTTTGACGGCTATATGGCTCAACCAAGGAACCACTAAAACACATTCCTTCTTATGAAGATCTATTTTCAATGTTTATTCCTGGATGTATTATTACATGCTGCTGATAATTTTCTATATGCCGTATAACAAATTATATTGTAGCACATGATTGAATAGAGTCAATCTATAAAAATTGAAAATGTTTCATTGGTTGGTTTTTGAAAATCCGAACAGACTTTAAAAGCACCAAAACCGAAAGGACACAATGTTTGGTGGTGTTTGTCTTTCTTAGCTGCTGCCCACCTCCATCTATCACAGGGTTGGCTATGGCTCCCAGGAGGCCCTGTGTACTACGCAGCCCCCACACCTTTCCTCCCCGCTTGCCTTCTAAACCCTCCAGCCCCTTCCTCCTCCGCCATTACCACCCCGCCATGAGTGACAGGCATCCAGTTCCGCCTGACTGGAGCCTCTCTCTTCCAACCCTCAAGGACAACTAAGAGGACATATTGTCATCAACTCATCTCTCTCATTCCCACGGCCGCCTCCTCCCCGATCTCACATATGCACAGGTTCTCTACCCACACGCACACACACAAAGACAACTGCGACCCACTCACCTGTAACAACATCTACGTGACCTTTGCTTAATGTCCTCAGGTGCTACACCAGAACCCATTCGCACAAACAGCCTGCAGGTCTGGCTGTGCCTGCCGCTTCTCATCCACTCCTCTCCCTTTGAGTGTGTGTTTGAGACCATCTAGGTGGGGGTTGTTAAGAACCCACTTCAGACAGAAACCTTGAGCGGAGGAAATAAACAAGGCATTGTCTGTAAAGGCTTCCACACAGATCGCCTTATGCTCCTGAGCTTGAATGTTTTTCTTGCTGCGGAAATCTGAATTCTTTATCTCCCGGCGTGAAAAAATTCTAACAGACCAGCAGCTATTGGGGGGGCTGTCACACACAGTGGATTGAAGGTGCTTTTGTTTTGTGTTGTTTTTAGATAGATAACAAGGTTTATCACCAGTTATTTTCCTCTTACAGACAATCTGCGTTTTAATCCCGTGCCATGGGTTGTTTGCTGTGCTCAAATATGCTTCTCGGTTTTGAAAATACATCATCACATTGTTGTCTCCACTTTGCTTTCTTAGAAACCAATTCTGCAACTTGTTTTTGCACTTCAGTATGCTCTTAGAAGTTGGAAGGCTGGAGAGACAACAGGGAGTCGGCACCGAGCTTCAGATGAGAGGCTGTTGCTTACAGCCGCAGCAGGAACTTTACATGTTGACAGGAAACCCTTTTAAATTTAAAAAATGTCAAATCCCAGAAATCATTGGATCCAATTTCACAGCGATGTGCAGTGTTTCAAAGAATGGTCAGATGCATTAGCAGAGACAGTTTCATCTAGTATCAGGCCCACAAAAAACAGACTTAGAAATGCTGCGCTTGCGGATGGTACAATTTTGGAAGGAAGTTTTTAAATAATAAATCTATATTTTAATGTATGCTTTTGGTAGATCTGCATCTCTGTACTTTGAGCAATATCTGTTTTGGAGCTGATCTCGCCAGCAATTATGAGCCTCCATTTAGCTTAATTAACTGTGCACAGCACAGAGGCATGCTCAAGTGAATAGATGGATATTCGTGCCATAAAATGTCTCATTGTTCATTTAACTTTAAGCATTGTGCAAATATATTTTTACCATTTCAGCCTCACAGAAAAATATTTAAGTTCTAATTGCTTCCGAGCTTCAAAATACCTTTAAGCTACAATTATAGTGGGCTTAATTTATATAAAGAACGAGGGTTTTGGAATGTATCCACGTATCAAAAATACCTCATACATTTATAGATACATGCTAGCATGTTTGTGTTTCTGATTTACCAGCCTATGCGTTTTTCAGCTTTCAGTTCAGTGTCGTGGATTTATAAATCCACAAATGTTGCTTTACTCCTAGAGGTTTACTTTTACACCATTCAACTGCTTGCATGAAAAAGCCACTGAAGTACTGTTCAGCAGCAAAGAGCATTTAACACCATTAATTTTACCGCAGTAATATCTAACAACACTGTTTTTTTTAAGGCTGTACTTTTATGGTTTAAGCATATAATATGCAAATTAATAAATTAGGAATCTTCTTGTTTGTGTTGTTATTCTTACTTTTAAATGGAGGCGGCTACGCTTCAATGGAACCATTGTCTAAGACAAATTTCCCCACAGGAACAATTAAGTGTTGTAGTTTAACATTGTTTATGGGGTATGTTGTGGCTAAAGAGTCAGAAATTTCCCTCAGGAGCTGATGGAGACCAAACAATTGATCTGAACAAAGAATGCCAATGTGGATTTTGCCCAATATCTACTGAATGCACAAGTAGGCGTTTGCTATATGAAGTTAACAAAATAGGACATTGCTGCATCTTTAATAGCAGCCCAAGAGGGAAAGAATGAAATGCAAAAGTTTATGTATAAGTTTGCTTTTCTTGTAACTCTGATACGATTAATCCTATCAAATAGACATTATCTGTACAGAAGATTTTCTCAAATGTTGCTTGTATAAGAGGAAGTTCGGGCCAACAAAAACATCCCAACTCAAGATGCACTGATTATTTTTCAAAGCATGTCAGACTAAGTTAGTTCAGCTGCTGCTCAGATGAGGACTCCAGTGAGATGTGGCTGAATTCAGCAAAGGGGAGCGCAGTGTTAATTTGAGCAGAACACAGCAGTTGTGCTTGTATAAGCTGATTTGCATCAGCTGGTTCATCCATGTATTACAATCACTGTCTCATTCACAGCAGACTTGTGGGAAAAAAAAACATTATTTTGCTTTTCATGCAGGTAGAGAATCAGATGACAATATGTCATATTTTTAGTATGGCTACTGCTTAAAAACTTAGTGTCCATGAACATATCAAAAAAATTTTTGGTAGGGCTTCTGTGAGAATGAAATTTTTTAATGTTTCCAGACTGCGTTTGCAGTGGATGCTTAGCTTAACTTCACCTTCAGCAGCTGTAATGTTACAGTGCTTCGATTGTCTCAGAGTTTCAAACATGCTAAATGTCTTTGTGACAAAAATAGTCCCATTATAATCGCTCACAGCCCTTTCACAAGGATTATGACATAAATTGGAGCTATTCGTAAGTGCAGAAATCTGCCTGTTTGGTGTCGTGTCTGACACTAATTAACTTTTCCTCTTTTTTTCCCACCAAAGAAATTGCCATATTTTAGGGTCTATTAAAATCTTTTTTTTGTGCACATTTTCAGACATAAATATCACTATAAGGTGGAATATTGTGTTTTGCTGCAAAATCAAAATCTGCAAGAAACACTACAAGTTTCCCAATGTGCTCCAGCATTTTTAAGTATTAAAAGGGGGCTATTCGTTTCTATTTTCAGAATGCCAATTATTGTTCACAGCAGAGGCTTTAGCTATTGAACCAGTTTAAGTCAAACTGTTGTAATACGTTATTATCCATTTCAACCTAGTGTGGTGGGGAGATGCTCACTGCAGGATTTTCATCAAAAGAGATAGCCTGCTGAAAATGTAATTTAATGTTTTAGTATAAATCAATAAGCCTCCAGAATCTATTCCCTCATTCCCACCTTTATGTTAATGTAAAAGAAATTGTCAGATAGAACTTTAATTCACTGCACGCACTTTGAGACTGTCTAATAGCCCCAGTTTTATCCATAACTGCTCAATTGACACTTAAATTACAAGCCTATCTTAATTTGCCTTCTCCTGACAATTTTAAGTTCTACTTCTTTTTGAAGCCAAGGCTACTGTGACCCGTGTTAAGGGAGATTTATAGGTTAGTGCCATTCTAATGCTGATTCTCTATTAAGAATTATACCCCATTTGATGATTATTACTCTGCGCTCCCCCCAAAAATAGAAAAGTGATCACTGTATGTTCTGCAGCACCATTAAATATCCTTGAATCTTCATATGAGCAAGCATATGAAAAGCGCGTTAAATGGTAAACATGGAAAAGAGTTTGAAGGGAAAGATAATTTTATGGTGGAGCGTTAGAGGACATTTAGATGTTTCTGATGGGGGATATAAATCCTGATGGACTCCCATCTGAGTGTATTCATTAATCATGCGTCTCATTGGCGAGGCTCTGATTTGCCATTGAGACAGATGAAGATGAACTCAGCAATATATTTCTCATCATAACACAACCCGCACATAAATATTAATAGCATATTTTCAGCTGGTGGGCATGAATCATTTTCCAGACAGGGAATTTTAAGAGCTATCCATGCGTGTCCAAGAACAGTACATAAGTGAGCAGTTGTGATAAACAACATCCCTTTGAGGCAACACGCTGAAGAGAAAGCCCCAACTCTACCGAGAGATTTAAAATGTCTTTATTTTTTTTTGCTTTTCCAAGGCAAATGTATATCAATAAATTTTCATGTTTAACCTTTCAGTATGTCAGGGCAAATATTTTAATCCAGCAAGTGACTGTTATTGCGGTATGCTGATGTTTAAAGCTATTTAAATGGCTGTCACTTTGACAACAGCAATGAGTTGTTGTATTTGAGCACGTCTTTTTTTTCAATTAACCTCAGCATACTCTGACTCCTGCTTGTCACTTTACTGATAACTCCTCAAAAAGTGTCTTCTGTTGACGGTAATATGAAATCCTAAATGGATCAACAATGATTGCGCTTGTAAAAGGTATCACCTTTAGGTGCAGGAATAAAGATCAAGTAACTGTTCACATTTCCATTACTTTGAGCTTTTTAAGCCTCTTGGATGTCCAGTTTAAAGCATTTCTTGCTCTTTTAGATGAATTTTAAAAAGGTCCTATGCACCGTTCATTTCAGATTCCAGAGGCAGTTCTTTATTTATCTAATTACTTTATGATAAAGCTGTACATGTACAATCTAACGCATTTCGAAAGCCTGCAATAAAAATTTTAAAACAGTGTATTTCGTATTTGGTAGATTGATAATTCTGGGTTTTCATCACAAGAACAGGAAAGGACTAAACTGGTGTTGATCATTCTGCACCTGAAACCTAGAGAATGAGAGTCTCTGTGTGTTACAGGTCAAAGAGCCAAATCTACAAAAAGCAAAAGGTAGGCATCAATAACAGACCTGAAAGGCAGTTTATGTCATGATTTGCTTTGCCTTTGCTCAAGATTATTCTGACTTTTTCTTAGAGTTTTTAAACAATAACTCTCCTAACTTTATTTTAACACAACCCCAAAAAAGTGGCAAAACATATTTTGAGTGCCTATATAAAACTAGAAAAAGAATCTGAATCTAATCTGGATAAGTGTTAAGACCCCTTGTTTTGACACATGCGAGTGAGTTCACACTTGTCTATGGAAAAGGTGACATAGCCAGTTTTAACAGGATAGCAAAAGGCTACAACAACAGATTTGGTCAATGCACCAATCTTGGGTTTTAAAAAAAAAACAACGGAAATCCAGCAGAATTCAAAGTGCTCAAAAGGACAGTAGCTTATTAGACAACTTGACGATGCCGGACGTTATCATGTGAATGCACATGAAAAGCTGTGTCCAACAGTATTCAGATACTGCTTGTCACGGTTTTTGCGAATAAATGTGTTTTCATCATCAATCCCGCATGCAGTGCCTTCATCAAGAACACAGTTTTTCTGCTCAGGGAATCTGCTGCCCTGAGGTAAAATATTCTGAGATGTTGGCAGAGCAGAGCTGATAACTGGGAATTTACTGACCATCACTGCAGCTGAGTGTGAAAACATGGGAAACTGCTCAACCGATCTACAGTTGTAGGCAAAATTGTAAAGCAGTACATGATGTGGGTGTTTTTTTTCCCTTTTTTTATTGTAGGTTTATGACCATCGGTACAAAGCTGTGTTGGATGGAGTGGAGACAGACGGTTTGATGGAGATTGATCCAGAGGAGCGGATTGAGATCTTTCGAGTGGGAAATGGGAGTCAGGAGGTTCTTGAAGTGCATGACTTCAAAAATGTAAGTGAAGGTTTAGTCAGAGCATGTAAGCCATTCTTCTGATTCATATTTGATGGTTCAATCATGTCTTCACTTCAAGAAACTATGATGTACATATCCTTATCTTTTCAAGAGCCAGTTTGTATCATTATTCTATTTTAAATCGTGTCTACCTCTTCAATCCTTTCTCTTTTGTCATTCTAAGATGGAGATTTAAAAATCATTGGCGCTATACCACAGAAGCAACAAAGGAAATTACATTCTCTGAGGGGCTCACATGGAGATCTAACATGTAATTTTTTAAAACACCGTACGTACGTACCATTAATTGAAATACAGAAGCACAAGTAGAGATTTATGTGCACACAGCAGCACAGAGAAAACAATCACTCTTGCTTGAAAAAGTGCTTTCCCCAACTAATTCTATACAGCAACTTCTCCTCAGTACAGAGACAAACACCATTAAGAACCCTTTACTATTTGTTTCTCACACCTTTTTCAAGTGCAATTTTGTTTGCAACAGAACTCATTAACTTACCTTTCATTCCTAAATCCTGTTCGGGTGTGCAGGAGGTTACACATGCCGCACCTCAGAGAGGGGAGCTTGCTGCTTGACTGGGTAATGAATGCTCCTACTCTCACACCATTATTTACTGTGAAATGTTGGGTTGCAAGGCTGAATGTTACGGGATACACTCCATCCTAAACAAAAACCTGCACAGTGGTTATTGTTTTTTGCTACAATGGGCCTTTGAATCTAAAATGAATCAATGATGGAAACCAACACAAGGAGGAAAACTTTGACCCCTGAAATCAGTTTCTGTTCCCTTTTCTTTTCCAAGCCAACATGCGTGTGCATGGAAGCAACACAAACATGCCTGACTGCATTATGGCTTGTTTGTTCCACTTCCTGTACATAAAGCATATCTCCTGAGGAGATTCTTTTATTTATTCTATGCTCTAACATGAGGGTCTGAAGCAACAACTGACTGAGCAAAGTCATCTAAGCCTCATAGTGACCAGAACTCAGACAAAACTTTGTTGTGTTGTTGTGATGTGTGTGAGCTTGTGCTCTAAGGTTAGAAGGAATTATTTTCAGGATAAGAAAATGTCTCTTTTTGTTAGAGATAAAGACCAAAGCACCCTTAAAACAATTTTCATCAAGCCTAAGGGTGTGTTGAGAGTATAAAAAAAGATTATTTTATTACCAAGATTGTGTATCACAAGACTCCTTCTAACATGGAAATCAGGCATCCCAAGACTCCTAAATTATTTTTATCAGTTTTTGTTAAAACAATCGGATATGTGTAAAAAATAAAAAATAAAAATGAAAAATGCTTACCTGGAACATTGTTGAGTTTGTGAATATGAAAAACAACCAACATATAGTTACAAGAACAAGCCCACACAAGAATCCAGTAAAGAAATGACAACTTTGACATTGTGGTCACAGTTTAACTTCAGCTAGTCTATGTAAAAAATATTTTGGCAACAAGTAACGTCTGCTGTAGAGTACACGAAAAGACCTCTGATCTGTATAGAATATCCCTTGTGGAGCCTCACAGTCTCTTTGCATCACCCTCAGATTTCCAGGATTGTGTAACTTATTCTAACTCCCAGCTCATCACATAAAGACGCTTGGTCAGGATTTCCAGAGCCTGTATCCGAACACTCCAAACCTGATTAAGTGTTTTTAGTATCTTACAGAGTATTACAGTATAATAAAGGAACAAAAAGGACAAAAACAACGACCAAAGTCAGTGCTTCAGCATGGAACTGGGTGTTTTTTCCAGAGGAAGTTGGATAACAGGATAGATGTTCCCAATTTTATAGCATTGTCCCTACCCTAACTAATTGCTCGTGTTGAGTAAACAAAAGCTAAATTTAAATGGATGATAAACCTTTTGAGATTGTCATGACTCAGAGTCATGTGCCAGCAAAACCCAGCAGTCTCTAAATACAAACCTAATCTGCATAATAAAGTTGTCAACACTCTTTTTCTGACTCCCTGTACTCAATCATTTAGGCGTCGACTTAAAAAAAGAAAACAACTAATTGATGTCCCATGATGTGAATGAGTACATAATCATTTCACAAACTTCACTGTGAGTGCTTTTTGCTGCTGCTCATTAATAACTGCTGCTTTTCTGTGCACATGACATGTAGTCACCTGTCTTTGACTCATGAGATGAGGCTCGCTGTAAAATTTGCTCAAGTTTCTTGACATCTGAGGCATCTGTAAAAGAAAAACACTTGTAACAGAAATTGCTTGGTCAAGGAGAAATGTTGACAGTGCGTGCACGGACAGCACAACACAGCTCTGTAGACCTGACACTTAAGGGCTGATGTGCAGTACCCCACAGGGCCACATACAATTCTTTTCCTGACAAAATGTGGAAACGTTGTGTTTGTGATTAGATGTCCTTTGTGCGAGGACTTCATGCCCCGGACCAAACTATGAAGTGCACAGAAGTCTGCAACAGCTGTATTGTTGATGGCCTTCAACTCTCCTTTCAACTTTAAACATGAGTCCTGAGCCCAGTTTGACCCCTTCAAACACATGAAAAGCTCTCTTACAGAGCTTAAGTGTTAAAGTTTTATAGACGCTTAGTGACATTAAACAAAAGCAATCACATTCAGGTCACATGAACATTTTGTGTACTGTGAATAGAAGACTAAATGGTCTGCAAAGGGCATGAACTTGAGGATGTAGCATTCCTCTGAAATGGGAACCAGTTCACATTTGCTAACATTTTCGGTTAGCTCTTCCATGTAAATTGGTTAGCCTTCTGAGAAGCAGACAGGTCTCCGACAACAATAATGATAACAACTAAATTAGTAATAACTATCATTACTGTCTGGGAGAAGACATGAACATGTTCTTCTGTAGCAATTTCCTAAGTTTGTATGTAATTAATGTGACATTACAGTTAAGATTCAAAAGATTTGGAGGTCAGTATAAACAAGTGACGTCAAGATACCCTTTCAGGAGTAAGAAATTCGATTTGTTCCAACTGAACTACAACACCTGAACAAGTACAACCTTATAGAAAGAATTCTGGTGCCCTGGCCAGAAAAGGGTTAGTGTTAGCCTTAAGTCCTGCTGGCCTCTCCGCACAGGCTTTGGGATATTTGGCTCCGTTTGTGTTGCAGAAGTTGACAGTAATCAGTTTTGGCTTCTCACCTTCAAATATGGCATCAAGCCTGAAGAATAAACTAGCCAGGATCCATAAATCAACACAGATTCTTTGAAAAACCGCTGGTAAGCACTGAGGTTTTTCTTTTATTTATTTTATGAGAAAAATAAATAGTCATTTGATGTAGCCTTTAATTTTTTGATAGTTAACCATCGACTGGCAAGTGACAGCAAGAAAATACTTCATATGATGCGATCATCTTCAAAAAAGTAAATTAATTGATGTATAAAATTCTGTTTTGGAGGTTGATACTTCTCACTTTCTTTCAGATTGCCTTTAGCTGTGAATGTATGTTGGTCTGAGGGGAATTTGAAAAAAAAATCTAACCTTTCTTTTCAGCTGCTCTGCGCTCCACTGCCTCCTCGTCTCACAGCAAATCAAACTGAAGCATCAAAACTTGCCTCCAGCATTCATCCATCTAAAATTTCTTTTGAGCGTGTTTTTTAATTCATGATTGCGGGAAAAATACTGATGATGTTGAGGATAGCCCACGGTAACATAACAGCCTCCATGGATATCTGACTGACGTCCCCTTCTCTGGACAAACACAACAAAAAAATAAAGGACCATCAGCAAATAATTGAAATAAAGTTTATTATTTCTTCAGAACTAATCTGGCCTCAATCAATACATTAGCAATATTTGATGTAAAAATAACACACTTGGAAAGAAATTTCTTTCCAAGGAATTTGGTCATGTAGGTTCCATGCATAAGAAACATCCCACAAATCAAAGCATTTTATCAGCACTGCAGGCATTGATCAAACAAGTACCTGCTGGCCTGATTTGAGTCCCGCATAAACTAAATAATGCATTTAGTAACAGGTTCTCCAAGGATTCATACAAACCAGGCTGGCAGTCGGCCAATGCGCACATTTTGGGCATCAGTTGACGTCTGTCACTTCTGTATTTCATGTGGTCATTTCAGCCTGTAAACTCTGCCATGTCCGTAGATGAAAGTTATCTCTGAATGGCTCTTTGGCTTATTACTGCGGATGTGCGAGGATGGACACTGAGAGGCAATAGAAAGTCAATGCATCAAACACCATTCTCATTTTTCATCAACATTTCTCCAAAATTCACCGAAACAACGAGTGTAGAAACTCAAGATGAGGGGATAATGTTGACTCTAGAGCAACTATGTACGTAGATTTTACTGCAGTTCCTAGCAGGCAGGTGGAAATCACCTGTGTGGTGTGTTCATGGGCTGTTCTGTTTGCTCAGAAGTTCATGCAGAGAGACCCAGCAGGGGTTCTTCTGTCAGTTTGGAGAGCAAAAGAGGAACGACTCTTTTACTCTAAACCCGCCACGAAGAAGGTTTGCAGCTGCATGTGTAGACGCTCCAGCATTGCCCATTAAAATGACATTGCTTTCCCATTTCTCTTCTCTGTGTTACTGTGTCTCTCTTCATTTTCTGGTTGACCAACCCCAGTAATCATTGTGTCTCATCACAGCATTGCCCTCTTTTCTTCTGCTGCAGCTCACCAACACGCACGCCCAAATTAAACAAAGACTCATCACAATAAAGCCCGGCATAAACATTATGCTTTTGTGCTCGAGACCATTATTGCCCCATCCTTTTTTCCACACAGATAAAATGACATGCGGTAGATTATGACAGCCATCACTTTGTAAGTTATCTAGTGCTGCTGGTTCCTGGTTCTTAGAGTGACAAGCACCACAGAAAAATTGAGAAATTCCCCAACGTGGTGACGTTAACCGAGTCACAGGAGATGTCATAACAATCACTGTGTTACTGTAATTAAATTTAGATTGAATCAAGTCCATTTTCATGCTACAGCTCATACAAATTTCACTTGATACAATTTCAAAGCCACAGTGTCGGATGTGGTTCCAGCCATCTCTTCTAATACAGTATGCTGAATGAGCAGCTCGGCAAAAAATAAATTAGATACTGATCTACTGAAAGTCTTTCAGACTTATTCTGCCTGAATATCTCAGATTAACATAGAATGGCAGACAGAGAGAGAGAGAAAGAGAGAGAGAATTAACAGATCTTTCTTGCCTATTGCGGCTCGGTGTGTCAGACTGAATGGAGCTAAGTCCACATGGTGGAGGATCATCAGTGGAGCTGAAGAGAGTTACTCCACACTTCACTGCACAGATTAAGAGAGTGACAGGGACCTCTGACTGGCTAATTCAATGGGGGCACTCTCTATAGAAAACACTTCATTTCCTGACAATGTCACTTGGCTCTCATGTGCAATATATCCTGCCATGAAGTATTATACAGCCAAAGTGGAACCCCCCACCTTTTCTTTTAATTCATCTTTAAAGCAAGAGCAGCGTTGCAGGGGCCAAGCAGTCATCAATTTTATAGCATGATGAAAAAGAAAAGAGATCAAAACATACCTTTTCTCTTTTATTTGGTTTAAACTTTCTTTTTTGAGCAGCTTTGATTATGAGCAAAAAGCTGAGCGTTTTGAAATGAACGCCCCAGATCTTATGGGATAAAACTACATCATAGACAACTAATGAATGATGCATACATCTGAGTTTCCTTTCATTACTCTTTCTTTTTCAAAGGGTATCACTGGGATACGGTTTGCTGAACATCAGAGGTGCTACATCAGGACCCAAACGAAGAAAGTACCCACAGTGGCAGAAGTGCAGACTGAGGACAGAGATTTACTGGTACAGTATGCCTCCACACTTTGCTATATGTACGTCTGGCTCTCTGTAGTCTTGCAGAGGCTGTCATGCATATTGTCAGGAGATAACCAGAGTAGAGCGCTATGAGTAACACGAAAATCCTCAGTCTGTCTATCTCATCCTATCTCCCCACCCCTCTCATTGAAGAATAAACTCAGGTTTGTGGTGCCTCTGAAACTGCCAGAAAGCTACCCACTAACCCCGAGCTTCTTTGTGGCTCACATCAAATGGTGCTTGCTGTCAATCTTGCGCAGATATTAATTTTTAATCATCTCCTCCAAAGGTTCTACCCAAACAGCCTAAAGGGGGAAGGGTACAGAGTGAGAGGTAAACCATTAAAATGGTATTTTTAAGAGATGTTTTTCTTTGTAAAATTTACGAGACTCCCACAGCAAGTTTGGGGTGAGCCATTCTACTTCTCTGTTTTTTTTTATAGTTGCATGTGAACTTCAGAACAAGAAATGGAGGAAATTCAGTCAATCAGAATTCCCATTTTTTCAGTGTCACAGTGCAATTCGCCAAGCGGGCCGCATGTTCAAAGAGAAAATCTTTCTCTCAAAAGTCTCAACTGCTCTCATTTACATTTCACACTGGGGCTGAGAGGAAGTGGCTGGCACATTTCTGACTCTCACCACTCTCTGTCTCATTTCAGAAGAAGTTAGCCAATTGTCACTCCAGCCTCAGCTTTAACTTTAAGAACACAAGCCGTTCTACTAGAAAGAGAGAATGAAGGCAGACACTTTTGTTTTTTATTTTTCTCCACTACATAATGTCTGATCCACGTTTACAGATACTAATTGCCCAAACAGCACCATATGCCCGTGCCATCTCTGTCTTCTTTAGTGTAGTGTGAAGCCTAATTGGCTAAATTCACAGCTCTACAGTGAATCATGTAATGCCAGCCAACGACTGGGGCTCATATTCCAAGTGAAGTAAAGTCAGCATTGGAGCTAGTATTGGAGGCCCTTCCATTAAAAAAAAAAAATATTCAAAAGACGTTTTGAATCTTTTTCATCAAGTTCGTCATACTGGTAAAACTTTGGCTAAATGACTTTGATAATCATAAAATAAAGAAAACATTTTTTTTTCCTATTTTCAATCCATCCATTTTCTTTACGGCTTTTTCCCAGCGAAGTCGTATGGGTGCTGGAGCTTATCCCAGCTGACATTAGGCGAGAGGAAGGGTACACTTTGGACACGTCGCCTGTCCATTCGCTTACAGTTTTCAGTTAGGCTAACATGCATGTTTTTGGAGGGTGGGAGGAAGTCGGAGTACCTGAAGGAAAGCCAAACAGACACAGGGAGAACAAGCAAACAAAGAAAGACCCCAAGTCCCCCAGGGATTCAAACCGGGAACCCTCTTGCTGTGAGGGGAGGATGCTGATCAAACGCTCTCATGGCCACTAGAGATCTTTGCAACTGAAATGTTTTGGTCTGTCTCACTGTGGACAATGAAAGGGATCTTTCACCTTTTCTTTACCAGGAAATAATGTAAATAATGTATCTTCTCATTTTGTGATAAATGCTGACCAGCCACTGTTCCATCCTCTGTGAGCATCCACCCTCCTGTGACCCTGCAAAAGAGCAGCACAAGTTCCTCTTCAGGTGGTGAAATTCAGCTCACAGGGGTTAAAGCAAAGAAACTTTGGTTCCTTACTTAACCCCACCACCAGCTTTTAGGAGAAAGGGCTCAAAGCAGCAGCAGCACAGCAGCCTTGAGAGCCAAGGTGAAAAACAAAGGGAAAAACTGCTGGAAAACTGCAAGCAGCTGATAAGAAAATACCACCCCTGCAAGGGAGAAGCAGGTGACAAACATGAATTGTTTGCCAGGATTTTTCTTTCTTTTCCAATTTACCTTCTCAATGAAATGTCTGAGGGAGTAATCCCTGAGCTTCATTCCAGTTCCCCAGGTCTGACACGGAAATCACCTCCCTCACACCCTTTAACATTGTCAGTGGATGCTGCTTGCACCATTAAACAGCCACTTAATATGGATGACCAGCATTCACCCAGCAACCCTAAACCTCCCACTTAAACAACAACAGAAACTGGAAAAATGGTGGGGTAAGAAATACCACCAATGCAGAGGAATGGACTGCAGCAAAGTCCTGCAGTGCAGATAGTCACATATTCATCTGCATGAGCTCAGTAAATGGCAGGGTGGCCAGTGAAATTGCAACAATAAAGTTCACTAACTGTGTTGATTTATTTCGTTATAAAGTCTGGTCACACAGAAAATGTGACAGAAAATTCATCCATGGTCTATTATCACCTAGAATTGATGGCTAGCCCCTAACAAATGCTATCCAGGCAGGATGAATTCTCCCATAAGAGCTGTCTGAGGTTTTTTTTTCTATTACTGTTTTGCTATTTGGGTTTGAAGAGTTATTGAAGTTGAAAAAATGTCACTGCGTGATTACTTAAAAACCTAACTATTCTGTTTTTCCACCAAGGCTTTATTTATCTGCAACAGTTTATAACAAAATGACAGAAAAAAACACATTAAATTTGGTTTGGAGTACACTGATAATGTTGGAATTTGGAACAAATCCCATGTATTTTTCAATTATGCGATTAACCTTTAAGATGTGCTCTGAATGGGTATTTCAATCATAGACGGCTGTATAAAAAGGGACATAATCACCTGAAATCAATGCAGAAATTCTAACAAAATGGGCTGCTAGGCCCTGGTTTCGAAGCATCTCCCTACAAGCTATTGTTGTCACAACTGTGTGCAAAAGAGGGTGCAAACACACTTAACTCCAGAAGGGTGAGAAAAAGTATGTTTCAGAACAGGCCAAAAAAGGCCTGCCATGTCATGAAGTTCAAAAACACCAGATCAAAATGTAAGAATGTGGCAGCAACACAAAAAACAACTTGACAACTAACTTGGCCATGAGGCGACTCAGACAAGTGACACAAAGAGAAAGATCTGACGGAGAAAAAAGAGGCCTGAGATTTGATATTTTCTCGCTGTTTTCAGCTGTTTTTATGCCCTTTTGCTGTTTTCACAAATATGATGCAGGATTAGACATTTAGAAAACCGAGTCCTGGTGTGAAACACAGATGGGAAGGAAATTCAATGGAAGAAACAAGCAGATAGAATAAAAGAAGCAGGGGGAAAACTGATGGCAAAATAAAGAATACAGCGTATGTGAATCCAAATGACCAAAACAACTCTGATGCGAAGAAATGAAGAACCAAAACAAAACCATAGACCATGACAGTGTAATGATCTGCATTTACATTTAATCAGTAGCAGTCCTAAAGTAAACATTACTGTCCAAATGGCTTTTAGTTTGCACTCCATGCATATTCTACAACTATCACCAATTCTGGTTGTGAACCTCCCAGTTCATGGTAGTATAGTTAATATATTAGGATATACTCCTGTCTTATGGAACATTTTATTACCTGGCAGAGGACAGTCAAGAAAGTTACATTGAGCAACACGGCGATAATAGAAAATAGAAAATACTGCAATAAATCTGTGGAGAATTCAACTAACTTTCAGTGGTCAGCTACAAGAATACTCACTTTAAAACGGCCGTCAGCTAAAATTCACCGGCTGATCAGTTGCAGAGAAAAATCAAACTTGTATTGGATGCAGCATGCCAAACCTCATGAGTATGATGGGAAAATCTTTGTTGATCTCTGACAAACATGGAACCACATTAAACAATGCGTCATGTCGACAGTGTTTCCCTCCCCTTGGGACACGGTGGCAGGAGAGGGTAAATTTGTTAACTACAGCACAACTGGTGTATAATTAAGTTGAGCACTGTAGGCAAAAAGCGTATATACACCGGGAGCAGGCAGCAGAAAACAAATCACCATCATTCCCAAGGTCCAATACTGGATAAAAAAGTTGCTTTTGTGCCAAAATACTACATCATTTGTCAATAGGAAAATGGAAAGGCTTTGAAAATTGTGTATGAACTGGCAGACTGTAATCATGTTGTCTTTGTGCTTGTCAACTGGCATTTAGAAATCCATGCCCCGTGCTAAAATGTTGACCTTTACCACTTTCCCCAAAGCGCTCTCCCCTCCAAGTTATTGGAGCCGTTTCTCAAATGTGAAGTCAAAGTCATGCTGCGAGTTCCATGTCATGACCTCCATTTATTTTCAAAAGAAGACTTACTTGGCTTCAATGGTTAAGAAGTCCAATTAGAGGGTGCTGTTTGTGTTCTTTGAGTTTGATTTTAAAAGTGAGGGGAAAGTGTGTCAAAAGCTTGGCTGAACACCTCCTGCACCCAAATGCAATCTCTGAGGTGACAGAATGTGCTTAAGTTGTGGTTCGGGTTTTTTTTTTCCTCATCTTTACAGGTCACTGCTATGTCACAGGACAACAAATAAGAGGCAGCGTGGAAAGCGAAATTTTAATTCAACATAGAGTGACGGGGGTGAGCATGAGGGAGGGGGCATGACCTAATATAAATGATTGTTGCTCCTGCTATAGCCCCAGGATTCTACATCAAGCTTAACTAATGTGCAATTAAGCTGCAGACTGGAAGAAAATCACCTTGTAAAAACATTTGTCAAGTGAACAGTTTTTTTTTCTCTGTTCTGGGCTGCTAATTAACAAGGGAATGGGAAGAGGGGTTTGTTTGTGTGTGTATTTACATATACATGAAGAAAATAAATACCCACACTGTTAGTGGAGAGCATTACCAAATCCCCTTCATATGTCTCTATTAGAAGACACTGACATGTAGTCGCTATCATTAAGCAATAATAGTTTACTTTACAGCTCATGAACTACAGTATCGACAAATTAGGCCCGCTGATGGTGCTGGGTGCCAAGTGAAGCATTGTGTTGGGGGGCGGAGTTTAGAAGGAGAATGCACGGCTTTATTGTGTCTGATACATTAAATGATACGGCAGCCACACTTGGAGTAATGAAGACCACTTATAAAGTCACTTAAAAGTCAAATCATCACCGTCTGTGAATATCAATGATGTATAATAGAAGGAGCATGCCGGAGGCTTGGGAAGAGGGTGAGACTCGGAGAGAGGGGGAGGTCGGGGGCCAGTGGGAGTCAGGAAGTCGCCGTCCTCTCAGCAGACAGGAAGGTGATAGATGAAACTACAAGGCTGAAACTGCTGCGTGACTCAGGGGGAGGAGAGCACACACACGCAGGACTGTTCTTTGCGGAGGCACAGACATTTTTTCCAGGCCATGTCTTCCAGTAGAATATGTACACGACTTCGGTGCGTGAAATTGTGTGTGAGTGTGTGTGTGTGTGTTTGTGTTTTCTGGCAGGCGCATGAGACCGAGGCTGTGGATATGAAGGTGGAGGACTCCCAAGTGTGGGTTCCTGCTGAGGAGCCCATCGTTAACCCAGACTTCCTTCTCGACTCCAAGATCTGGGAGATTTGCCAGCAGCTGCCCATCCACTGGATCCATCCCTCCCCCCTGACCGGTGAGAGCAGGGGGGCAGCTCTGCCTCTAAATGCACACTATTAGCACTCTCGCTGGAGGCCATCCCCACAGGCTATGTGCAGGTCCACAGAGACAGAATGATTTACCAACTGCATGAGCAGCTGGCCCAGGCTGCTTTCTGTGTGTCGGGAAAGTTTAGAGACTGAGGGGTTGGAAGGAGAATTCATAGTCTACTAATTGCAAGCTACCGCAGCTACAGTGGAGAAACATCACAAACAAAAACCTTCATTAAGAGTTATAATTAAGTTACAGATAGCTAACGAATGCCAAGACTTGTCAGATGATTCGTGGCTTCTGGAAGTATTTACCTGCTTTGATATGTAAACTGGAGCTGGTTTCAGCTGCTTATATGTTATATGTATAATATATATAGATTGTTTAAATGTGTGTCTGTGTGGTGTTAGAAGTGAGTCTGAGGAACTGTGAGACTTTAACATATGCAGTTACGTTAAAAGTCCTCGTTAAAGGAGCTCACATAATGCTGATTAAGCCTGTCAGTACCTGTTAAATCTCAGTATATTTCACGGTATAGCGGGGTTTTAAATCTGGTATCCATGGCAACACCACCGCACTAAGGTACAAATAATAATCCCTTCTGAGGAAGCCATCAATGACTGGTTTTGCAGGAGTGAAGAGAAGAGCAAACAAAGAGACGGAGACAGAGAGGGCTAAAGCAGCTGGGATTGAAGAAAAATATGGAAGCATCCGAGAAAAGTTTCCGACACCACTGATAAAAAATAATAAACTTTTCAGAGGATGGAAAGACTTAACAAACAAAAATTCAAACCTTGAGAGACACACCTGCAAATCTTTATTTCAAAACTGTTGTCTAGCGATTACATGATACAATGGAAACTGTTTATTATAATTAATTAATCAGTTTTGCTCATTTATCTCTCGCAAATTGCTCTGTGTTTTCTACAAATGACACACGTCAAGCCATTATCAGAAGAAAACATGCCTGGTTTTCTTGTGATCTGCTGCAGTCAAAGATCAGTGATTAACCAACTCCCACCTCTCTGCCAGCTGCCAGTCTGGTAAATGCTGTGATAATCTAATGAATGAGCACATTATTATGATAAAAACAAGCATTTTAATGACATAAGAAAATAATTAGCTTGAGTTCTTGGGTTAACGGCTGTAGAAAAATTATCTGAAGCATGATTGTTTTCAGTTTCCCTGCATGTACAAGTTTCTACTTGTGGGTCATTTGCTGTTTGTGTGCACATAAACAGAGTGGAAAGCAATGGATGCCAAAGTCTTTATCCACAATGTGTCTTTTCTTGAAAAGATATTATGGATGCCTGCCAGCTACAATTTTAATCAAAACCTTAAAGCACAGGAAGAGGAGATTAAAAAAAAAAAAGCAATATAAGTCAAATAGAGCTGCTATTATCTTTTACAATTAAGAAAAATACAGAAGACAAGAGCAGCTTTTAATATGTCAACATAATGATGAGCACAGATCCACAGTTGTTGTTAGTTTTCTGTTAGCTTCAGCTCACTGGGCGTCCGTCTGACCTGAAACTTTTTCGATGTTGGTTCGCTCTCATCTTTGCTGTAGTGGCTGAAATAATCATACTGCCTTCTCAGCATGAAACAGCATATGGACGCAGCTAACAGCCAGCAGCAGCAGTGGTGAAGACCTCTCAGCTATAAGGCTTCTGTTTTGGAAAAGATTAGAGCCAAAGTTGAAAGAGAATGAATATTCACCAGGGGATCAGAAACAGCGGGGCGTCTAAACAAGCATGCTTTTGCTGTGTGGACTCGGAGAGCCATGTCAGGGTTGTGTCAGTCACTGCTTGTTGAATGAACCTAGATGGTAATGGGACAAAACTCCACCTCATCCTGTTAAAAAACCGTAAACACCAGTGAACTTTTACCAAGTCCTGTAATATCTTCCGAGCTCACCGATCCACAAAGCAATCGGATGTTTGCAACATTAAATAAGAAACACTAGAGCAAAGCAATGTGCCCGTGAGTTTCTCATCTTACCACAGGGACGTAACATCTTCTGCTCTCTCTGCGCGTTAAGAACCCGAGGACCAGGATGTGGACACGCCCGACACTGAGGTCACAGGTCAACGCTTCGCCCGGGACGTCCTGGACCACCCTGCCGTCAATGACTATGTAAGTGGAGGGATCTTCCCCAGCCATGTCACCCGGGGACCACACCAGCAGATACAGTAGAGCTGCTTCAATCAGCTCCAGCTCTGCCTCAACTCTTTCTGCATATAAATCGCTCACTAATTGATGTTAAAACTGACTTTGTGCACCAGAGGGCACAGCAATTGCTCTATATATATCTGTTTAAGTAAGGCCAGTCCATTGAAGACTCCCTTAATGTCTCTTCATTAATTGAGAGGAATATCCAGCCTTTCAAAGGCAGCAACTTGTGCCTTACAGCGGCCGTTCGTGTCTTTCTTTTTTTTTTCCTACTTTCTTATTTCCCAGGCAGTGGAAAGCACTGAACAAAGAAACACTCACAAGGTCATTCACTGCTGCACAGAGAAGTTGCATTTGTTAATAATTTCGTAATTATCAAAGCACATGAAATAAATGGAGAGGCCATATGGCACATTTTGTCGTGCTGCATGCAAACCCCTCAAAACCGTATGAATAATTATTCCAGACTCAGAGGGAAATTCACACTGTAGAGTGTATTACGGGCAGATTTACTGCCTCAGTGACAGAAGCACACCAAAGATACTGGCACCATGCACAGGAGTGAGGATATAAACATAAACATGCATGTTGAGTACTTACAGGTGAGTTGTCAATAAAGCTTCCTTCAATAATGAATCAGGCTCAGTCTTATCCCCAGAGCTGAAAGAAACAACGAGACACACGCAGGCAGATGAGATGTCCTATAATGTTGACATTTATCAGGCCTATCCACCAGACACCTTCAAATCAACTCTTCATTTTTACCCCCTTCCTCTCCATCTTCTCCCTTATTGCCTGCGACAGGAGATGTAAAGCTATGTAATTAAAACATACCAGAGGATGCAGCTCTTTTTTTAGAGACGCTGTGCCACTATCGGCTGAGTAACGCATACCAGTGCAATCCTTTCCAGCAGCACGTCCAGGCGCTGTTTGTGGGTCTGATGATAACAAAGGCCTTTGTGGCCAAGCAGAGGGCAGGCAGCAGTCTGTAATTGGGAGTCTGAACTCTCGCTCATGCCGGTGGGATGCCACATGTGTGAGCCGAGGCTTTTTTAGTGTTTATTTATTATTTTTTCATCCAGAGCTCATGTAAATGTGCTCGCAGTCAGAAAGGAAGCGGGCGCCTGTGCGCAGTCTGCTGCTGACTGTTTCTATTTCCCTCACATCCTTTATTTCTGTCTCAGAAGTAGAGACAAAAAACATGCATTCGGTTAATCTGCATTTTATAAACCTGAAATTCGGCGTCCTGTCGGCCCACACCGAACACTCATAAAGCAGAATAATCATATTAGTCCTTCTGACAGGGGCTGACAGATATATGCTGCTGAACTTTGCCTTGGCTGCCATGTCAGAGTGCAGCAAGTCTCAGAGGTGGCCCTGAAAATTTCAAACTGAATAACTACCCTTTGACAAGCCTGAAGGGACTGTACCACCGTCCTTGACCCATATAGCAAAAATGAACCTGCAACAATAATGGAGCACACACGTGCACGTGTAAACATGCTTGCTTTGCTTTTCTGTCTATTGTCCAAGGGTTCATGATGCCAGTTAAACCTGCTAAATCCTTCCAAAGGTCTGGGTGCCCCATTCAGCATAATGCATAACAGAGAAATTCAAATCCATGAATGGAAAAGCTATTCGTGCCTCCAGAGGAATCTTTACACTGGAGCTAAAGCTTCTTATCACTTCAGTGTACTGAAATACATGACATGCGCTATTGAATTACATTGTCATCCCACCTGAGTGTAGAGCACAGAGAGATGAAAATCTGAGGTCAAAACTCACTGCAAAGCTTTTCATATGTTTGCTCTGCCCTGTATCTACGAAAAACAAATCAGTTATGAAGACAGAGTAAGCCGTGAAACAAAAATGTTATCTCTTCCGTTGCGAGCCCAGGATGAATGCGAAATAGCACATCCACTAATAGCACATCCAGGCATGTGCCTCCGGCTCATGAGGAGAGGTGATCAGCGTGTGTGAAATAATACCAACAAGTGTGGAGATTACAGGAGTCATGCTTTGATTCGTTACATCTTATTGAATAACTGACACAGTTTTCTACTCTGCCGACTCATTCACATGCAGCATCTCTTATTATTCACAGAGGTGTCTGTGTGTGTGATTGCATGTGTATATGTGAGCAGGGATGTGTGATGAAATCAGATGCAGGAAGGGCGTAATGGCTTTTACTCTTCATTAATGCAGCTTGTTTGTGAGTGACTGTCTCAGATTTCCCAAGGTGAACCATTCTTATCACCACAGCTTCCCACAAGAGACGTCAACTCAAAGCCAGAGTGATTAATACGTACCCACCGTTTTAAAAGGATAGCTCTGATTAATTGTCTTTAACGTACAATGCTGCCTATTGGCTGTTTGTTTTGACAAACATCATCTGAATAAGATATTTTCCTCATTTTCCAAGCTGGAGCTCCAGACTTCCTAACATCCCAGTTTGGGCTGTGAGGAGCAGATAAGATTATCGTTGTTCCTTTGACAGCCAGCGTCTTGTTTCCATAACAGATTGTTCCCTGGAAGCTGATGACCTGAAGCCTGACTGAAACAATAAATCAGTAAAAGCTTACCCGTGCCAGTCACAGCAATAAATCAAAATCAGGCGATCTTCCATATCATCCCTGGTACTCTCGCTATGTGTTTTAAATATGTCACACCAGTGTGTGATGTCTCTCACTTTATCACAGCTCACATAAAACGCATGCTACACCTTCTTATTGGTCATGCTTGTGGTGAACTCCCTGTTGCTAGCCGCCACCGAAGGAAAAATAAATACAAAGATTGTAAAGCCACAGTGATTGACTGCTCAGTGACTTGTGGAGTAGATGCAAGAAATCCCTTAATTCCCATGCTTGAGATGTTAGGGAACTGGAAGGATTCAACCATGTTTCCCTGAGGGTCCCCACAACCCACACATTTTCTATTCCCAGCAGTGGATGGGTTTTGTTCTGCGTGATTGAATGTAGCAAAGTCATTGTAAGCATCTGCGCGCAAGCTAGTCCGTGCACAGCGTCCTGGATCCGAGCAGTTTAACGAGACCGCGCCGGATTGTCTCCGAGGATTAATTTGCTCAAAGAGATTGAAATGTGGTCAAATGCATACTGAGGACAGTTGATTCCTCAACCTGCACCGAGGGTTAAGTGGCACTTCTTGGAGTTGCTCTTGATCAAAGGCACGGCTCCCAGGTCCCATGAGTTGATGGGGGCACGAACCACCCAGTACAATGGAAAAGTCCAAGGGCCATTAATTCCACCCAATTTACCTTTCATTTGGGTTTCATTCGGCCTCTCTATAAATTCAGAGTCAGCCAGTAAGAGAAAATGAAAGAATCCTTCTTAGGCGATCATTACGCTGCTAATTGCTTCAGGAATGTGCCATGCACTTAAAGTGAAGGTCAGGGGGAGGGCGCTGAGACGTGAGGAGCTCTAATTTGAACGCTCTGGTGGAGGAGGGGCCGCCATTTGCGTGCAGTGTATGCTTCATTCTACAGAGTTAAGAGGTCAGAGATGAAAGAAATAATGTAATTATGTTGGTAACTACCAACTAAGAGTTCCTTTGACTGACAAAAGAGCTTGTAGTGAAGGCTAGATTCACTGTCCAACTGCCAGTCGTGCTTCCTGGAGTGTAACAGAAAGGTGAAGAGGATTACCATAGTTTACGCACCTGATACTTAAGTCTAGCATGCTTATTCTCATTCTCAAAGCAATCTTGATCTTTTTGTCATCAGGCATGACATAACTTGCATCTTCCCAGACATCACTTCTGATCTTTTTTCTCTCGTTTGCTTTTTACATATATCCTGTTGGCCAACGGCCTCATCCATTCCTGTCACCCCCTCCTCTTCCTCCTTTTCTGCCCTTGCCTCTGGAGGACTGGCATTTGTCATGTGTGAGATTGTAACCCTGCCCACTCCCGTGTCCTCTGCAGAGGGATGTTGGAATCGAGCTGGATAACCGTCTGGATGACCGTGGCTACTGCTGCCAGCACTGTCGCCGTGGTTACCACTACTGCCGCCGCTACCACGAGCCCCTGGGTGGCTTCAACCCCTGGCCGTATTACTACCAGGGAGGCCGGGTCATCTGTCAGATTGTCATGCCCTGCAACTGGTGGATCGCTCGTATGCTGGGGAGGATCTGAAGCGAGCGTGGGCTGTCTGGGATATTAAATGTTTATGTTGTTCGGGGTGAAAATGTATCCCTCTGATAAAAATTCCAGACCGTTTCTGACACCAAAGCAGCCGATGCATACAATTTTTAGTTTGCTCTCCCACAGAATATGAGACAGTAAAAACAGGGCATATAGAATATTTTGACTCTTTCTTAAAAGGGAAAAAAAACTTCATTTCATCATATTTTTTCTCCTGTTTTTTTCTCCTGCTTGATCCTCATCAATGTGAGTCATTTAGTTTGAAAATATCACATGAAACTATTTACGTCTGTCCTTTCTTTGCCTTTTTTGTCAAGACTTTATTTTTACTTTAGGCATAGCGAATAATTATTCAGCTAATATTGAAATGTATGCAAATGTAAAGTGCATGAACATGTAAATCTCCAAATGGTGCTGTCGCATTAGATATTTGACCAAATAGGGGTTACTGTTTGCTACCATAAGCATTGAAGGATGCATCTGCACGAACTGGACGGTCATAAATCAATCCTTACTATTTTATTTGATTTAAACCCAGTCCAAGAGCAGTCAAAGCAATGGATAAAAAATGCTTAATAGGATCCAGAAAATGAAACAAACCACTGCTCATCTGAATATTTTAAGTCAATTCTGCACTTTTCTGATTCCTGACGTCTGACAGATTTGAATATCATTGGATGAAAAAACAGACACATAGACAGAGATTCCAGCTTTTATTAGTGGGATAGATACTAGCCAAGTATGATAAGGGCACCGGTGCAATCCAATAAAAAAGCCCTGCCGTAAATTTTAAAACATTTCCCGTTGTAGGGTGGTAATTTATTAGATTATTCTGAGAGGTGTTCCTCTTCCTTTGCCCCAACCATTAACATGCATGAAATCTTATTCGTAAGGGACATTTTTAACATGATATCAGTCCAGCACACCTCTACCTCCTGTTGTAACCTCAGCTGTAAACATAAATGATCACCTTTCTCACAATTTATACTAAAACTTATTGAAGCTTGTAAATAAAATTTACAGCAGAGCTCTCCCGTTGGGTTGCATTGGATTACGCAGGTGTTCCCACTGATGGTGTATGAGAGTGTATGTCTCAGATTTTGTTGCTGTTGTTGTGTCCGTTCCTTTAGTGTGCACATAACCTCCTGATAGAAAATCTCCACCATGCCCAATAGCTACAACAACCCTGAAGGACAAAACACTAAAGAGTGTTTCAGAAAAGAAAAGGTTACCAAAAAAATGTTACCTTTGGGATACATGATAGCTATTTGGCCAGTCACTCGTTCCACAATGCTCAGCAGAAGACCTGCAGAATTTCATCTTAATCACATCAGTCCAATTAAGAAGCATGATTCAAGTATAAAGATCAGTAAGCCAGCAAAAAAAAGATTTAGACATTTAGAGATACTCTGATTCTGCCAGTAGAGAAAACGACCAATGCCTTTTGAGTTTACATCTGATTCCATGTTCTGTACCAATTGTTCCTCTTTGTTTTTGGTATTGTGGTAGATGAAGGACATATAATTAAAGATGTGCAGACCTCAGATGTCTTGTGATGTACTTAATGTTGTGGTTTCCTCCTTTCTTTTCATGCCTGTTGCAGTCACTCAAACTGTGCGGCTTTTTCAACATTTCCCTCTTTGCCGAGGCGATTCTGATGTAACTATGCATTTCTCAGTGTGCCAAGCTGAAATAAGGCTCATCTGAAGCTAACAGGAAAGAGAGGGGGATACACTTTTGTAATAGATGTTCTGTCATCACGGTAACAAGGTGCATGGGTACCCAAGAGTATTCAAGCTATGAGAGAACATTCAGAAGTTGAACAGAGAGACAAAAGCACTCGTGTTGTGAGAGCGAGCTCTGAAGTCTTCTGTATGTTTCCATCGCTTTACTTGTTTTTCCAATTAAATTTTTATTGTATGAATAATCTCCCTTGTCATATTATATGAAACAGTTCCCTTGAAAGACTCTTTATCCAGGAGCGTTTGTGTGAGAACTCATAGCAGCAGGGGCTTGAATCCATCCCTCTCCTCACTGCTCATCAGCAGACGTTTAGTACAGACCAGAGTGAATAAAGTTGTCTGATTTGATTGTTTTTATTTTATAACCTGAGACTTTCTGTGTATCTGATGAACAATAATGCTTTGATTTAAATATCTTGCCTACCATGTAAATACTGATGTTGACTCATGTTGTCCAAGTATGATAGTATTGTCGATGATATCAAAAACAATTTACTCTGACATGGATTTGATGAAAAAAAGAAGATAAAACACTATGTAAATATATGTAAATGTTTTAGAAATATTCTCATAAATGGAGTTCAGTCTGCAACCATATTGTTACATTTAAATCAATAATGTCAATTGCCCAAAGCTACATGTCAAGTAAAAAAATGCTGGCGTGAGTTAACAAATGCAATAACTGCAAACATACTTCAAATAAACTGACAAGTGTACTGCGAAGCCCCCAAGGCAGTTCTGAAAAGTTCATAAAATCAGTGGTTATATAATACATTTCTCTGTATTTCCAGCTTATCACATCAAATAGTCAAGTGTTTATTAAAATGGATACATTCAGCATGTTGCCGCTTAAGCTTTTGCGCTTGCTGTGTGGGGAAGTAGTGCACATTGTTATTTTTCTTAAGATGCTGTTAAACGTCTATCTGTCGAGGGTGATCTCTGAGGAATCTGAGCACTCTTGTGTGGATGCGAGTGCAAATTTACATGAAAGCCCTGAGAGTCACTCTGAATGGGATGGTTCACCCCAATTGGAGAGGCTGATACAGATATTACAGCTGGCTCCCTGAGAGAGCTCCTTGTGTCTGTTGGGACAGAAGTCCGATATCAAGCATGAAAGTCAAACTCAACAGTACAGACGCCTGACAATTAGAAACCGCTGTGGAAAAGACCCACAATGACTCCAGATGCTTTTAGTTACTGCTGATGAAGCTGCAGGAGCATGTATTTTGGCATTTATTACACAGATCTGAACAAAACTTGCATCCATTTGAGTTTTTTTTAAAGTACACATTCTCTAAATATATAATAATATGTATGGTTTGTTGTCATGGCTTTATTAATTGGATATTTTGTCACAATTCTAACAGATCTGACAGCTTAAAAACCAGCACAAATGTGTTATCTTCCCCAATCTTTTTTTCTTAAAGCAAATGTATAAGACAACATTTTTAAGTAGCCTTATTAAATCCTTAAATTTGCTCAATAATTTAGAGGAAAATTTGAAATTTGACCCACTTTATGTGAATGCAGCTGCTACGTGATTAAGTATTTCCTGATGGCTGTAGGCCAGAAATTTACCCCCAGAAAAGGAAAATAAATAATAAAAAATGTAACAAAAAGATCTGATGTGGCTGAGAGGACTTGGAATTAATATTCTGCATATGAGCAGGGACGTTAAGCAAAAACAAAAACAAGAGACAGGGCTCAGGTGAAGAAAAAAGCCAAGCCTTCAAGAACCCAACGCAGATTATTAAGTAAGGGCCATTTCATATTTCGAAAGGGAGGTTTGTTTGCATTCCTATGATGTGAAAAGGGGAGCAGCACCGTCTATATGAGATGTGAGGAGTTCTGTGACAGTGAGCTCCTCCCTTGTAGACCAAAATTAAAGAATATCACATTTCAAATGAAGTCCTGCACTGTTTTTATCGTGCATTTTATATATACCCTTCGTTCAGTTTTTTTTTTCCGGGGCTTTGATAAGGAGAAACAAGATCGAGCACTCTGCAGGATAAACACAGATACCAGACTGTTACCAGGTTATCGAAGTTCAAAGGATATTTTCTTACCTGGCCTGAGGAATGGCCACTTTCATCGAAGCTCAACAGTGAATTAATTCTTTTTGTTACTTATCAGAAATGCAGGAAAACTTCACTCCGAGCTGCTTATTTTCATTTCAAATAATCCCTCATTCATGTTAATGTGCGAGCTATTCTGGGGCAGAGGAGGGTGAAAACCCAATGCATGAGGAGTGTCTGTATTTAGATTAGTGACCTGAAGGAACAGCTCTCAACAATGCAGACTGAAGCTCAGGCTCTGGCCATGGACGTGTGTACTGCTAGTGCCATCTTGTGCACAGAAAGATGTACTACCCTGGCATCAAAGCAGACACTGAATTGGTGCCATTCATCGCTTTTTGTTTTGTTCAGTCCTGCTGTACCCATTGTCCTTAAATCCACCGACTCTTGTTTCTTTGGGATAAACACAGATTATTGCTCTGTCTTCTCGTGTGGTCCTTTCAAATCTAACTTTAACAACTGCTTGTCAGTGTTAGAAATTGGATTAGAGTTACAGGAGCCATGAGATTGTAGAGGACTACTCATTTTCTCTGTGATGCCGCAGTCAGTCTGGTGACCTGATGGTTAAATAAGCTTTCCTTGTACTGCTCCAGCTACAAGCTGGAGGCACAATAATGTCAGCCGTCATCCTTCAACCGCTCCCGCTGCGAGAGGCAGCATGGCACAGCAGTAAACACTCGCACTGTCAGTGGCTGCAGGCGACACAGAAATAGTCCTCCTCTCCCAGGACCCGGCTCTCGCTCCATCTTCAGGGTCTCTGACTCACTTACCAAAAGGGACACCGCAAATGTAACGGCCTTTCGTCATCTCAGTAATCCATAAGAACTTTTGCTTACCATATGGCAGGCAATCAATGAACCTCTCAACAGAAAAGCTGGGTGTCAATTTGGATGTAATCGAGTTCTTTGTTGCTAAATGTGCTGCTTGTTCAATTACTTCACTCTCATTTGTAATATTTGTCTTCTGTGAGAAAGGCTTGGGAAGATGTTTGAAACTGTGAAGAAGGCTGTGGCTGACAGCCTTGTTTTTCCACGCAAGCGTGTTTGTTAACCCTATGGCAAGATTAGATTGTTTGGTACACAGTTGTTCATGTGGGTGTAAACAGAGAAAGGCACAGTAGGCAAGTCCTGCTGCCAGTCGGCTTCTTTAACGCCACCACCCCTAACACACATTAGCAGTCAATCGAAGCCAGCGCAACCAGGAACACTCACACACACAGTCCCTTCTTCACACACAAAAACACATCAACAAGCTCCAGAAGAATCAATCCAAGTCGGTATAGCTCCTTTTTTCTCACCAACTGCAGCCTAAACACACATAAATTCTCTGTCCAAGCTGTGGTAACAGACGCGGCTGTCCTCAGCTCTGGGTACGTCACATGTATTCATCCACCCACAGTAACTGGAGAAAAAGCACTCTGAAGTAACAATCCAATCAGTCTTTAGACGGCTGATGGCTCCAGTCCAGTTTCCCCCAAAGCTGCAGTGGCTGTACAGAACAACCGAGTCATCAAAGAGGGAACCGTTTAGCTGTCTTCCACAGCAGACACTTGTGAACTTATGATAGGTGTTTTTCTCTCCGAGTTGAATCTGGGTGTTGTTGTAGTATTTAAAAAAAAAAAAAAGCCATGTTAAATTTCAGCTGAAGCCCGCACACGTTTCAAATATGTTTGCACAAGAAGACAATATACGAATAAAATACAGCTGACATCAGGAAAATTTAGCTTTTAATTGGCATAATGACTTTTTCTTAAAAATCTATGCAAAATTCAGCAAACAAGGACATTGAGAACCCAAAACGAGGGAAGCAACGAAACAGAGTGGACATACCTCAGCATTTCACAGACAACAGGGCTTAAAGGAAGAGGCAGAGTAGAGATCTATACAGAATGAAGATACCTTTAGAAGAAAAAAGAAGCAATTCCCCACTGAAAGACTCATAAATCTGATTAGAAATATAACCCAGTTTATTCACTGATTGTCAAAATTAAGGATGTGTAATCTGAAGAGAGCAGCATACACTGCGAGTGTCTGCAGACGTGGAGCCCTTTAGCCGATGTGAAGCTGTGTGGAAGCCTTTAACTGGCGAGTTACCGAATGCGCACAGAGATCAGTACGTCTGAATGTCTTCAGTCGGCTGCAAAAGTCTGGCAGGAAATTACATCCAATTTATCTATGATCTCACTCCGGATCAATATTGCTTCACCCCCAACAGGACTGGGGAGCCAATCAGATGGCTGGCCTGAGAGGTTCTTATTCAAGTGGGACAGTTAATGAGGATGGCACAGACCCATGTGACCCTAGCCCAGGACAGACTAGAAGAGAGAGGCAGAGACCGACAGAGGAAAGATCAGAGCTTGAAAAAACAAAATAAAAAAACAGCATATTGCCCAAACAAACGAAGACGCTCGAGAAAAGATTTCAGAAACATACAGTATGCATCGATAAATCTGAAAATGAAGATACATACAACATACTATTTGTGAATGCAGGCATTAACTGTGTGACGGTTGAACAAAGGTAAAGAGGTATGCCCACTGAACAGCTGGAACAGAGAGCACATTCAGTAAATGTCTAAAAGTCAGACACAAACAGAGGATATGCACAGCTGGAGAATATAACAGTGGGATAATGATCACGCACTGAACACTTGAGTCCAGAAATCAAGAAAATACCAAAGCTGGTTATATGGAATGCTATACAAATGAAAAATGTCCATCTTACAAAAAAAAAAAAGAAATACCAAATAAGCTTCCTGGCATTATCGTTCATATTCTTTGTATTTTCCCTCAGGTTTACACACGTAAATATAAAACAAATGTGCCTTTTTATACAGAATTTAGGAATTCACAAAATAAATAAATTTGTTGTGGCCTTAAAATTGATTCTCAATCCCATATTTTCTGTATACATATATATTTAGCAATTCATATATATTCCATTTTATATAAACATGATTTCAACCTTAGAGCCTCCAAGGCAGAGGCTGATAAAAATCTGTTTTATGTTACGTATTCCTTCTCTCCATTTGTGCCTCCCTATCTTGCTGCGCCTCCAGTCTGCAGCTCTATGCAAACAGTTTTGATGTTACACTGTCCTTGGTGAACAGAAAATGCCCATTTCCATAGTAACACAGTGTTTTAAGGCCATAGCTAATAGAGTGGAAGCATACCTACAGTGCATATGTCAAAATAAATGAATATTAAGTTCTTGAATGAGTATTAAAAAAAAAACTTTAGTTCTCATTCTGAGCACAGGTATTTCCAACAGAGTCTTAAGCTGTTTGAAATTCCCCTAAGGCACTCTTCAATTAAACTCTGTGTGCATATTTAAATCAGATTGGACACACAAATGACATGACATCCATCCCTTATCGATGGGAGCAGAAACCTGTATGTGGTTGGAGGGACGCACACACACTTGCCCTGTGCTGATCCTCCATTGTCTCAGTCCATTGCACTGTTTGGCATTCAGTCTCCATTTTTTGGTTTGTTGATTTCTCCTCTTTAAACATCTAAGTCCGGTGAGATGTACAGTAAAAAATAACTAACTGGCACATTCGGTAGACAGGGATCCAGGGTTTCTCCAATGGCTGCTCTCATAGGAGGGAATTCATTCTGGGTATGTGCATGAACGTGATTGTTCGGCTACAGACGATGATCCAAAATCTGAGTAGTAATTTCTTTAAAGAAAAAAAAAACTAATCACTGCCTTGGTTTTTTTTAAATTACACATGTTCACAAACTATGTGAGTAAACAACTAATCCTGAGCCTGAATGACCAACATTTGAGAGCCACATGCTGCAAGATCCCTCACTCCTGATATTTGATGAGATCACTGTGGTTGGAGAAGAAAAAAAAAAAAAAAGTCTGTGGTCAAAAAATTGATTCAACAGTTGTTTTTGGTTCAGCTTTGTGTGGAAGAGTTCTGCAGCCCCTAAGCCTCTGCAGGCTCTGTTTTTATCTGGATAAAGTTTGCGGGCAGCTGAACAGACACGGGCAGCTCCTGCAGGCCTTTGATTCCCTGCTCGGGCTGCAGGGACATTTCCCCGCGCACCTCCAGCTCTTCCACGGGGGTCAGGCCCTCGCTGGGGCTGCTGCTCTGAGAGCAATGTCCGTTGGTTAGAGATTCGCCGGCGGGGCACAGGCCCTGGCTTTGACTGCTGTCGATGATCACAGTCCTGTACTGCAGCTCCGCCTCCCCGACCTCCATCCCGCCTTTCTCGAACGCGTGCGCCGCCAGGGATATGTCGCCGTTCACCATGGACTGAAAGTAGCTGGGGTCCAGCATCTCCTCTTTGACCTGCAGCTCCGAGAGGTCGCTGGACTTCAGCACCGTGGCGATCACGGTGCCCGGCTGCTGCGCCACCATGGTCGGCCCGCCGCTGGTGTTGATGGTGACGAGGCGGGGGAGGCCGTTGAAGCCGGAGGCGGCGGAACTGATGGCTCCCGGGGGGGGAGTGCAGGAGGAGGCCGAGGAGGAAATGGCGCAGGAGCCCAGGCTGGTGACCAGAAGCTGCTGCGGGTGGCCGTCCTGCAGGCCGCCGGCCCCAGCTGCCAGCGAGGCCGTCTGGATGGTGAGCACGTCTTTACCGCCTGGCGTGGTGGAGGGCATGGTGTGGAGAATAACCCGGGGAGGGGAGGAGGGGCTCGAATCCCCGTTGGACAGAACAGTCAGAGGAACAGATTGTAGAGAGCCAGAGGACGTCAGCACCATCGGAACAGACGTCGGAGAGCTGATGGTCCTGAAGAGAGAGGGGAAAAAAAAGAACATGACTGACGAGTCGATGTAATTCGCAAAGCCAATAACTTTGAAAATATAGACAAGGTTAAACCATAATGCTGCCACAATGCTCAGGAGCAGAACTGATGCCCTGACTTCTATTACAAATGGCACAGACAGAAATGGTTATTTTTCTCTTAAATTCTGCACAGCAGAATATCAAACAGCTCAGGAAACATCACCACACCTTGATAACAAATCATGTGGACTAAACACTGCCTTTGCAAAATGCTAAGTAGTCATTATAACAACAAGAAGTGTTGGAGAAAAAATGTAATGAAAAAAAATAAAAATGCACCATTTACTGCTAAGCTTCTGGCTTGTAAAATGAACTATGTGATATGCAAATACACACTTCATCTAAAATTCTCAAAACAGGATTTTTTTGTATGTACAAGGTTAAAAAATTATTCATTATTTTTAAAAACATCCAGATAGTAAGAAACGGTTAACTTAGTCACCTTTATAAAATCTCTGGGAAAAGTGCATTGATAAATAAGTAAATGGGTTTGTACAAAAAATATAAAGGCTTTTTATGCCTTTCATATCCTTTTTTAACTTCACTGAAGTTTTAAGTTATTGCCCTTCCAGTGGAAGCCGGCTTTCTGATCCTGGATCTTTTAAGTCAGCAATGATATTTCACAGTTTCAATTGTTGCTCTGGATAAAAACATCAGAAGCACATTTTGAAGTGCCAACGCGCCGAGATTTGTGCTATAGATCGCTTACAGACATATTCTGACATTTGGCAGAGACTCTTATATGATTTCTTGCTGAATCTTTGACAGAAGATCAATACAGCTCTCATATCTGCAGTTTATGTAAGACTACAGCCAGCAGCGCGGTCGCTGAGCTTACTGTTAATAATAAGGGATTGTGCCGTCTTTGGGTGAGCCTTATCTACACATCTAAGCTCTTCGAATGCAGACATTATACCTAATGAGCTCAATCAACACAATAACCTGAGAAGAGGAAGTGGAACTATTTCTGGGCTGGGTGACCCAGTGGAGTGACTTTATTGAGTCTTGTCACCGACATGTTGCCAGGCAACCTGGATACCAACTGCTGGCAGTAGCTATATTCATCATAAAGGCAGGCGTCGGAGTGATGTCACTCCCCCTCATCTGACTCTTGACAGGCGAGCGTCGATGTAATGTGAGAATCTTACAATTCAATCATGGAGAAAGCTTCCTTGTGGATAAATGTTACTTTTCGGGCGTTCTGGAAGAAGTTGCTAAAGTATCTCCCGCGTGCCCCGGCTTACATTTCACAGAACATGTACATAATGCTAGCTGGCAAATCTGCCTCCTCCAGAACACACAAACGCATACATAAACCATTTTCGTCTGGGTTTAGGATTAAAGAAACAGATATTTATGGCATTTTTTTTGTTATACTAAAATAAAAAAAGAAATATTCTTCAAATAGACCAGTCCAGGGTGTACCCCGCCTCTCACCCATTGGAAGCTGGGAAAGGCTTCCCGTTGAGAAGAAGCGATACAGAAAATAGATGGATGGATGGTATTCTTCAAATAGCAGACAATCCTCCTAAAAAAAAAACCCTAGGGTATATGGTAGCATTGAAACCTTTTGAGAGTCTCCTACCTCACAGCTGGTGCTGTATCGTGCATGCTCAATCCTTGGTTGTCTTGCAGCATTTGAAGTAGCTGTTCCGCCTGTTCACCATTGACCTCGTGGTAAAAACATTCATCGCTGGACTCTTTCTTCATCTGTTTCATTGACAGTTGGTGCTGACCGTGAACTCTTCCGTGCCCTTTGGCCCCTCCGCGAACCACAGACCGCCCATTGGCAGATCTCTGATTCCCATAGACAGAATTTGAATCAGAGCCCGTGTCTTCATCCTCGATCACCACCAGGTCGGTCGGCATCTCCTTAAACTGATAGACCAGCCGCTGCCCCTCCACTTTTGCCAGGATACCTCTCTGATAGTAGTACCTAAGGGAGAAAAAGCCAGTGGAAGTTGGTCAATGCATGATACAAATTATGATCTTTCAAACATTACAAGTCTTATGAAATAAAAAAAAACTAATTCCAGTTTGTTAATATGAACATTTCTGTGGAATAGTGATTTCGAGATTCGAAGCGGGAAAAAAATCAGCTTCCATGAATGATAATGGCACTTTGGAAAATGTTGCTCATTGGTTTGTTACCCTTACCTGAGAGCCCTCCCCATGGTCTCATAGTTCATGTCGGGCTTGTTCTTGTGTTTGCCCCACAGCTTTGAAACAGCTTTGGAGTCCACCAGCTTAAAGATTCCTTTCTCCCGTTGTGTCCACTTGATGTATTTGGGACAGGTGTTTTTATCCTGCAGTAAAGCCAGAAGGAATTCCCACAGGTAGATGGTGTTGCCTATAAATTGGGAGAGGGAGGGAAATTTGAGCAACAGTTCTAGAATTCAGGTACGTTAAATTCACAATGTAGGACCTTTAAGCGGTGCTATTAAGATCTATAATTCATTATGCATTTCAGCGTGTAAATGAAAGCCGTAGGTTACAGGAGAAACTGTTCTTTTCCTACAGCTTATTGTTGTGTTAGTTCTGAATGTGCACGTTGGCCTTGGAAGGAAATGAATTATTCCAAGCCGGGGAGTAGATTACTCTAATTTGCGAGACACTTTGGCCAGCAGTGGTTAAAAACAGCCACATTCCCTGTAGTCATTAGAATCCCAGACACCGTGACAGGGTGATGTATACATGTGCGGCAGAAACCCGCCGTCCCCAGCCCCCTCCTCTTTGTGTCACACTGAATGGTGCAATGAAGGGTCCACATGCAGCCGCAGCACTATTCTGCTGCTATAGGCAGAGCCTCCCTGTGCCCTCCAGCCTGCAATCACTTCTGTTTCCCTGTGAAACACAGCGCTCCGAGATCCCCTCATCCATTAACTCGCCCAGATTCCACCCCTGCTGGACAGCAGGGATTGAGCGCTGCTGTGTGCCCACATCAGAGGAGGAAACAGAATGTACGCTAGAGGGGAGGAAACCTTGATTCTTATTGGCTCATTACAGAAGAAGAGGACTGGTTAGAGAGCCTTACCTTTGCCCTCTTTGCTCTTCTTCCTGAGTGGCAGATTAGGGGCGGTGATGGGAGAGCAGGGACGCACCGTTCGCGGCTTTCGCACTGTGATTCAAATTGAGGGGTAGCATGTTAAAAGGTGGAAGGTCGCAATGAAATCATCTAATTACCCACTTTGCTGAATTTTTAATGAGAGACTATTTCTATGGTCTGACAAGAAGAGGACAGAAAGCAGCCCAACCTTTGGTTTTTTTCTGAGGTTTTATGGGACACTTTGGAGGGATCTCATCCATGGATGAAGTGTCCTCATCCAGGGACACATCAAGGGCAACGTTGTCCATTTGGTCAGGCCTCAGGGGGGCATAGGTAAGGTCAGACTCCAGCAGAGTGCTGTACGTGTGAACTACACATTAGAAAAAGAACAGAGACACAGATGTCACCTCACAAGATAGCACATATTGTACCTGTTGGATCAAAGGTAACACCTTCGTCACTGTGTTTTACACTGTAGAATAAAAAATAAGCTAATGAACCCACTCATTCGCTTCTCATCCAATATATTGTTTGGTGATTCCATATTAAGAAGAGCTGCTGCCGCCTCATTTGTCTCCATGGTGTCCTCTGCACCTGAAACTGTTGTTTCTGTTGACCAGAGGACAAGACTTTCGTTAATAAAGAATGACAGCAATTCAGTGGTGAAAATTACTTAGGTCTTTGCTAAATACATCTGACTATTAAATGAGTTTCCCTCATCGCAAAAAGGTCCACTGGTTGGTTTACAAAAAACAATACATTTTACAAATTAATCTACTAAAAGATTATAGTACAAATTAGGGACGAAGGCATTTCGCTTATAAAAATTTGCACTTATTTTCAAGGAGTTACAAGACATACCAAAATATGTTTTTAATCTGAAATTCAGTTTAAAGCAAAGAAGAAAAAAAAAAAATTTTCAAAGAGTTAAATTAGCCTTCTATAATGACACAATCTGCAGAACAAGCTGATAACCAAATGCAGCTGTTTATTGGATGTGTATCACCTGAAATGAAATGTTGACACTACTCTTTTCCTGTTCAGCTCACATCCTGTCATTGTGACCTGAAATCAAATTCACCTGAGAGGTCCACTCCGCCTGCCAACATGGATGGCTCCACCATGATGCCATTAGTCACCTCGTCTGACTCCAGACCCGAGTAGACCTGCAAAAGATCGGTGGTAGGCACCTGCTCGACAATCACCGCTGGGAATACTGACGGATCGTCCAGCTGCACAGAGAGAAGACACATACACACATGCATTTCGTAAGGTGTGGGATTTTTATTACGCTGCATATTAAAGAATACCTGTGTAAAAGCAATAAAACACCATCAATTCCTATGTTATTCATCATAAACGCAATATAAAAAGCCAAGGTAATATCAGATTAATATCGTAAAACCCTTTGGTGTGTTACTGTTGTAGCTTTGTAAAATATTGCAGATTCTAACTCAATTTCCGCTAATGTGAAGCACATAGGAGGGAGGGGAGCTCATTTCTGTGGTGTTGCAACACTCCACTGGGACCTACTGGAGAAGAGCGGAACCAGCTGTTTGATCTGGCCTACTTCTCCTGAGAAGTTAATCTTATGCTTAGAAATGATATAAACCCAAATTAATGTTAATAGATCAGATCTGAGTTGAAGCTGAGCACCTTTTACATCATGCTTTGGGAAACTCTAATTTCAGACTTAGCACAGCCTGATGCGGGGAGGAGCGTGGGGACTGGATGATTACAAGCTGAAGGGCCAAAACACTGAGCAACATCCGAGATGTCAAGAATGGTCAATGGGTTCTTGGTTCGTGACTAAAACTCTTGGAAACATGACAGCTGAAAAGCATCTGGCAAGGAACACAGAGCCCGCCCTTTATTCAACATGCAACTTGAAAAAGTTTTGTGTTTTTCTTCTTCTCTATTTGATTTCAGGCGTGAACATTTAATTGTGTGCATTTTTGACACCACAGGTTACCAGTAGATGGCGGCACATTCCTTATCCTGGGTTGGTGCTGGGCAGCCAACTCTGGGCTTTTTGAGGAATGAAATCTGAATGTGGGATGCACCCAAACCTCCACCACACAAATAAGGACATTCCTGATCAAATGTTCATCTTCCTGACAATGTTTCCACTTCTCAGGCACTCTAAAACTTGAAGAGATGTTTTAAACATGTTTTCAACCCAAGTCAAAAGCACCAAAAGAAAATCTTTAAATTAGTCCCAGATCGAATCTGCTCCCTTACATCATGATACTCTGTTCATCGGGTCTGAGGTGACTGAGCTGAGGCAAAAAACTCAGAGAGCTATTAAGAATAAATCTCTAAATAAGAGTTCTTTCCACTTTTTTTAGACACACAATGATTTACTTCAGCTCTAATTAAACAATGTGAATCAATCACATTCTTGCACTGATGGCCTGAACAACATGGCCAGAAAGGTGCTGTAGGGAGGAAGAGGAATAAAGGCATATCTGTCTCTTTTTACACAAGTGTTCATTGTTGGTTTGGACCTCCAGGGCATACCAGGTGTCCAGGCCTTGAGCCGGGTGGGGTGGGGGTGTGTGGGGGGGGGCTATTCAAGTACATGGCTTAATCCCCATTTCTGCTACACTTTAACCAGGAAACTAACAGACCGTCTCATTATTTGTACAAGGCGTGAAATGGCTAGGCCTCCTGTGTAGCTCCACCAGTCATTAGGCCATTTATTGTTTTGTGAGTGACGTGTGCACTGTAAATGATGAAGGTGTTTTCGGATCTATGGAGGGATGCTTCTACGTGTAGCTTTGAAGATCAAAAACACACAGCTTGAGCCATCTCACCAGCAAAACCATGAGGCCTCCTGAGGCTAACAAAAACCCTGAGTTTTGCTTTGGCTACAGACACTATCTGACATACGCTGAATGTTTTTTTGTTCATCAGAATCTTTCCTAGCCTCTATCAGATAGCCAGACACTGACGCTACCACATTTTCTTGGGAGGACTTAAATGCTGTTTGCTGTCCTTGAGTGAGAGCCGTGTGTGTGTGTGTGTGTGTGTGTGTGTCAGTAGATAAAGGCATTTTGACTATTGGCCTGCTAAGCTCCTGAAACTGCGGCACTTCCCACCGCCTCCTATTAAATGCAAAGAGATTGAATCCCACAGAGTTTGCTGACAGAGCACGAGGCATGTGGGCCTGCCGTCTCCGCTGTTGTTTTGATCTTAAATGCATTCCATTTTAGCCGAGAACAATTCAAACTTGTCTAGTGCCGTCAAGCTTTAAAACAAAACAGTGATTTCACTATTTGAAAAGCAGGATTCGATGTGGTTGACAACGAAACACAGAGATTTGTTCAAAGGTGACCCGACATGTGACATGAATCATGTCAAACGTGAGGCATATTTCAACTCTCCACTTTACTGACTTGAATAGAGTTTCTAGTAGGGAAATGGGAGCAGTAAAAGTCCTGCTGATTTACATTTCTGAGTTCCCCATTCTGCCTTTGAAAGCAACAGCATCTGTGCAGGCTGTTCCCCTACCAGCCCCTCTCTTCTGCTTTACCTGCACAGCCACAATGGAGTTCAACTGTCATCACACTTTCAATATCCTCATTGAAGTATTAGAAAAACTTAATCCACCCATCAACTCATAGGATTAAACGCTTGTTGTTTACACAAAACCTTATATATATTTGCTACTGTAGCATAAATAACCAAGTACGGTTTCTTTCATATCTATTTAGGTTTAAAATATATATTCTTTCATAGTGGCACCCTGTTGGATCAGATATAGGCGGGGTTAAAAATCAAGTTCTCAAATTCAAGTTCACTCTGACACCACATGTGATGCTACCTAATAATTTATAATCCAATATACTTCATTTGATCACTAATTTCACTCCATTCCGAGTGGTTCATTGGGGCTGGATTAAATCTTTAAAACTCTGAAGTAGCCAAAAGGTGCTGTGGTGTTTTAGAATAGTTTTTTTCTTTCAGATGTATAACCGTGACTGGATAAATAGGAGCAAACCGCTTGTAAAACAGGCTGAGTGAGTGTGACATGGAACACAACTGTAAGGCTGGAACAATGCAAGACCTTTGGAGTTGAATTATCCCCCATCACTTCTAAGCAGGTATATAACTGGTCTGTCAGGTTAGTCCTGAAGCCGTGCTATTCAAGGATCCCATAACAACTCGTCACTCGAGATACACGCACACAGGCAGACAAAGTCAGACTGAGTGTGCACATAAACCAGCCTGCCCCACAGGATCTAGACCCGGTTGTGAGGACCAGATAACTGCTCACCTGATCGGACAACGACAAGACGCACGGGCCCGGGTTCACATCGTCACCACACAGCAACCTTTGCGCTACAGACGCATTCATGCCCGAGCCCCACCCTTAGCCTCCCACGCACCCTAACCTCACTGCAGGTTTTTCAGTCTTTCCATTTCTGCGCTCCCAGCAGCCCACACTCCCCTTCCCGGACCTCCTCTCTGCTCCATCCTCCTCTCTGCCTTGGTTTCAGATGTAAAGATCGCAGGCTAATCCTGACCATGACGACATGTTGTATATACTAAATTCTTTAGAAACTCTTCTAAACAAGATCATCAACAAATTAAGCTCTTCTCTACATACTTTTCATGAAGGCATAAAAGTCAAAGTCCAGTTACATAGATACACAAGTAGCAACTATCTTAAAAGTTTCAAATCTGCTTTGACCAGCGGATACCTGATTGATTTCGTCCATCCCATTGCTGGCAAATTCAAACACCAGTTCGCTGGGCTGGACTGCAGTCGTCATGGCAGTGGAGTTCAGAGGGCAGTGAGCAGACTACAATATCCGCACTGTGACTATCACTCCTCTGTCTCTGCTTCACCCCACAAAATGGCCTCTGTGTTGTCCTGTTTTCTGATCTGAGCCGTTAGAGCCGTGAGAGAGACTGAGGGCCGGGTTTCAGAGGAGCGCTGTTGCCCAGGTGAGAGCAGCCTCGTCCCTCTCTGACACAGAGGCCGGGCCCCGCTGCGCCTGGAGCATCTACACCTGCCAAAGGGACAGAGAGAGAAAGAGAGAGAGAGAGAAAGGGGCTCAGGTCAGTAGACATATTAGACCAGTTTAGTGACACAGAAAAGAGGCAACTTCAAGCAAAAAATAACCTGAGGAGAAGCCCTCTGGGCACATTTATGAGGTTTCAAAAATCAGTTTGATCCACAGGTTTGCAGGAGAAACAAAGTTATCAGGGTTACATTTATTTTTTTATATGTGATGCAACCTTGTGTGTAGAAATCAGATTAGAGACCGATACCAACAGCCCTGCACGGTGAACCTCGGCAGGAAATCCACATAGCAAGTCTAAACCAAGCAAAGCAATAACCCTTCAGAACAGCAGTTTACTGCTGGTTCAGACATCAGTGACGCAATCATCACATTCGGCTCATTTAACATCCTAAAACCCGAAATCGAGAAAGTCAGTACTTGGCTATACGTGTGCAAATAGCTGACATTACCACATCAACAACCCAAAACACTGAAATGTTAAAAACCTTACAATGTTTTACCATTGAAGCTTATTTTCTTCACAGTTTACAAAAAACAACACTATTAAAAAGACCAAGATGGAAAGAAAATGCACTCCTGTGAGTCTCAATCTTTGTGTCTCTTTGCAATTCTGAGCAATCACTTTTAATTATGTGTATCTAATAGTCAAATTCATTTAGGTATTTGTTCCTGATAAAAGAAGTTGTCCATAATATATTCCTTATCAAAGATCCTGACTGAGCACGCAGAATAGATGACTCGGTTATTGGGAATATTCTGTCAAATACATTTGAGCCTTTCTGTTTTTACAACAGAAACACAAAAAAACAGATAACTTGTGACATGTTGTATATGGCCTTCTTCCTCTTTTTTGTCTACTAAACCATCACTGCTCACTTTAGTCTAAAAAGGCCTCAGAGCACAGCTCACCATGACTTAATCACTTATGCTTCTCATATCACATTTTCATGTCTTGGCTATCTGACCCCACTGCTGTCCACCTAAGACCATCGGGCTCAGGGGACTGATATTTTGATCACATGAGCAGATGCCATGGTGGGGGGCTGACTGAACACTCCCTCTTCACAAAGACACACATGCAGATAAAAGATCACTTGTCTGATAACACTCCGAAACCCCTCAGGGGAGTTACTCGGGTCACCGGCAGCGGGGGGGGGGCTGGCCACTGCTGGCCGTGCACTTGTTAATGTGCGCGTACATGAGGAGGCGCGAGATACTCAGAGGCAGGTTTTGGGCATGGTGGAAAGCAAAGGATGATGTTGGGATGGAGAACAAACAGACTGGGGAAACATGCTCCCACCCTCCTCTTTTCAAGCTAGCAGGAGCAGAGAAGTCAGGTGGCGATGTTTGGTAAACCCCACCCCCAACACCCACACTTCTTGTTTTTCTCTCTGCTGCAGGGTGGAGCTTATTTGCTTTGAAATGCTTTTCTTTTTTTTTTTTCAAAGAAGGTGTAACAGAGGAGGAGGTGATTGTGGGTTTTTGCAGCATATAGAATCATTTTTGTGACTTATCTCTCCTATGAGCTCTAAGTCTAGACAGAACTGATACATGTGACTATTGTCTGGGAAGCAGCATAAGAAGAGAGGAGAGAGCCAGGGAAATTAAATCTGAAGGCTAAAGTTTCCCTCTTTCTGTCTCTGCTGGGCAGCGTCCCTGCCCTCCTCTGCCAGAGTTAGCTCATGCTCCCATATGCTTGGAGCTCAATGCTCTGGTCTGCTTGGCATATTTATTGGGTGCTGCACATTTCCAGGCTAACACACAAAATACGAAAAATGCTGTGCGGATTATAAATGCGGAAGGATATCATTTCAAACAATGATTTAAACAAATGTGGATGGATATTTGTTTTTCTTGCTGAATGTCTGAATCTACAATTTTCAATTAAACACACACAAATATTCACCACAGATGTGCTGGTATCAGCCAATGACCTGGAAGTAAACTGTACGGAAAATTATTTTAAACAATTAGCAAGAGTCAAAGTAATAAATAAAAAAGATTTGTCATGCTCTTTTCCAGCTCTGTTTCACTTTGTGTGTCTAGGTTCTGATTTGTATCAGATTTTGTCAGTTGGGAGTTAGTCTGTGGTTCTATATCCCACCAGTAAGTGCTTCTTTGATGGCCCAGTTGGCATCGTGCAAACGGTGGACAGGCCTTAAGGAGAGCCTGCCATTAGTCAGCTGCAGCCTGCACATTATCCCCCTGCACATGACAACAGCTGCCTTGTCCCGCACAAGGGCAGGGTTGTAACTGCTCAAACCACGTCACGAAAGGGGGAGGAGAACAGTTCAGGGAGGGATTTCACTGAGATGTTTGTCAATGCATAATAGTCCTCAGAGCAAATAGACTGCTAGTGACATGCTCTGGGTGGGGCCTTCTCCTGACAGAGCGGAGTATTTTAGTGTGGTTCCCAGGAGGGGCATGGTGGTACGGCCAACAGCATGAAACACTCATCTACACAGTCCTATGATGAAATCCAGCCAAGCAGAGTTGCATACCAACTGTCACATAATTCTTTCAATAATTTAGGTTAGTCTCTGATTACAACACATCAAACCGGGCACGTAATATCTGACAGCAGAAGGGTTTCAGATTGTAGGTTAAAAAAAAACGCTGTGGGACCTTTCTGTGTGGGGTTTGCGTGCTTTCCCTGAGTATGTGTTCCTTCCACAGTCCAAAAACGTGTATGTTAGCTTCATTTGTGACTGTGAGCGAGTGAGTGTGAGCATGCATGGAGGTTGTGTGACATTGAGATGCACGTGCAACCTGTCAAGTTGTTCCCCACCCTCCCGCCCAATGACAGCTCGGTGGATTGATGGATGTAAATCTGGCTATATTCTATTTATTAGTTTAAAACACCATGGGTTGTAATTTAAAGAAAAAAATGTTTCCAGTACTTTTCTTTCCACTTACCAATTCTGTTACATGTTTTCTCTTGAATTATTGCTACATTACAGTATATTAAACCATTATGGATAGCTTTTGGTGTTTTAAACAAACACCACAAGCACTTTTCTACACGTCAACCTACAGTGACCATCATCGTCGTTCGTGGCGCTCTGATCTGGAGTGGACAGAGAGGGAGTAAGCAGCCAATGCCGGCCGACTCCACCCCAACAGCATGGTGACTGCCAGTCGCAATAACAACCAATTAGAGTCAGGATTCATGAACAAATGGAGCATTCCCAGAAGGCCCCACTTCCCCCGCTTTAGTCTCTTCAGCTGAGCTCATTGTTGACCATGAAAGGAGGTAATTTAAGCCAATTGAATGACTATGCAATGACTCACCCCACATGTGGTGAGTGCAAACATTGTGAGATGCAAGAAAAAGGACCAGGCAAACTTTACTTATCAGCCACGTTCAGCTCGGGTTTCAAAAAATACCGGTTTGCTCAGGTGACCGATTGTTCCGCGGTGTGTTGGTTCGGCTTAAAAACAACCGTCACAGGACCTGAATATGGACTAGCGCTGGTGTTGGTAAGCGAGTGGCAGCCCGGTTATTTGAAAACTTTTTTCCCCACAAAGGTAAAGTTAGCACAGACGTCATAGGTGCAAAATGAAGGTTGTGGTGTGAATGCCATCTCTGAGCTCAGCGAACATCTTCCGACACACTAAAAACTAACGGGAAATATGATCTTTCATCTACAAAAGGCTGAGTGGCGTTTCACTGCCGATAGTGGGAAATATTTGCTTACGACTTCTAAAAAAAGATTTATTTTCCAGAGAGAAACATTGACACAAATGTTAGAACATTCAGTGTTAGCTGCACCATGTTATGAAATATTTGCCAGTGTGCTGTTTTTTCAGGATCCTCTGGGTTCCTGTAAAGGAAATGACTAAGTGATATGAGGCTCAGGCTCATTCCTGGTCCGCTGTGATAGCTCAGACACACATCAAGGGATTCTGATCATCATTTCTGGACAGCAGTTCCTTTTTTTTGCAACAATCTTACTCCTTCAGTGCCAAATAAAGCTCAGACGACACAGTTCAAAAACAAACAATTGTATGCATTCATCACTATGAGACGGAACAATAAAATTAAGCTTTTCTGTTGAATTAAACTAAAGCAAAGTTACAAGAGTGAAAATGTGTTTGCGGAACTGCGCAGTGGCGGACCAAAACCTCACAGATGTGGTTTTCATGACGGGTCTATGTCGGTGTGTCAGCAACATAAAAACTGTTCTGTGCACACTATTTTTTGTGCGTTCTACATTTTGCTCACCACCTAGCGTTGCACAATACAGCATGTCTCGCCACGTTTCAAACTAAGCGCTTCTGAGCTGAATAAATGAGAGCTTTCACGGCGCTTCCAAGAGGCCACACCATGCGTGCAGGGATTAAATGGCAGAAATGGGTACAGAGGCACCCACAGACTCCGGCTCAGAGCACGCAGCTGCACAGCACAAGGCATCAGAATCCCAAACAGCGCTGCATCTGAGCCGGCCTGTACTACAGTAGGAGGCAATAGACTCTGCCGTGCAGGGCCCAAAGAGAAAAACGTCACCTCGAGCACGGGCGAATTCTCCATTCCAAGAGAATGGAATTTAATCTCATCTCCTGCAGACCTGGTACTTTTCCATCCAGGCTTCAGTGTCTGAGAGAGGGACCTCCTGTCATAACATTTGTTGGTGCCACCTAACACTCTGCTTGTCATAAACCAACTTATGGAATGTTAGACAATAGCTTTAGCAGGTTACCATGGTTTACAGGTCAGGGATGAAAGCTCAGATGAACACATTCCACGTTTATTTCTTCCAAAAGCATGTTAAAAAGGCCTTAAGTTACTTAGTGGAGGGTGCTCTTGATCGCACCAACTGAAATGACAGCCAGAAAATATTTGTGGCATATTTTTTAAACTGGATGAATTTTTTTTTTTCTTTCAATGTTAAAAACGCCCACAAACTGACCTGTGAATTTAGCACTCACAGGAACAGCATCACTGAGCTGTGAGTTTCTGCTGCTTCCTGTCTGTTAAACCACACTCAGAAGAAAAGTCTTCCTCTGTGTAAGAGCGGAAAGTTCTCAACTCCCCCTCCTTCCTCCTCAGACAACAAGCTATTACTCTATAGAAATACTGCTAACATTTCCTATATGAATCACACTTTTACTGGCTTAATTTTCAAGAATGACATTCAGGAAAAAATAGATTGCGATTTATCTATTTTCAAAA